GATAGAAGGTAGGGGCTTGCTCCACTTCTATCATGGGTTGGCCCGGTATTGCAGTACCTCCGGGATCGGCCCACGTAATTAAATTTAAACAAAACGTTAGCACCATAATTTAGAGCTTTCTTGTATTTTTGGTAGCTCAAAATATTCGATTAGTGAAGAAACTGCTCAGAAAATGAGCTTCGAAGCTTCCAAATCTAAAAATGTTAAATTCGTTAAGAAATTGCTTGTTGAAGCATTGGGGTAGTTAAAGTATTCGATTCGTAAAGAGTGATTCAGAAAAAAATACTATAACGCTTTTTTTAGTATCTTAAATATTTTATTTAAAAATAATTCAATGTATTTATTTTATTTTTTGATTAATGTTAAGAAAAATGTATTTTACAGTTTTTAAAAGTATTTTTTTGCTTTTCTGTAAGATATAATAGCAAATAACTCATTTAAGTATGTTTTTGACCTTGAAACATAGAGTAGAGGTTGCCTCAAACTGTATGGCCATTTTGTTTGAACGTTTCAAAGATGCACGAGCGAGTCACTAATCACGTCGAACGCTTTATGTAACTTAAGTATCAAGGTTATGTGTGAGTTTGGTTGCCTATTGTATACTTTTAATTATTATTTATTATCTATAAATCGTCTACTTACAATCTATTTTTTACTATAACATAATTGTTTAAAATTTTATAAATTTGCAGCCATTTCTAAATCTTTACATGTTTTGAAGGTTACTTCCTATTTACAAAATATTGGAATTCCTATATGATTCATAAAAATCCATACTACGTTTACCAGTAATGACAAAAATACATGATTTCTTTTTTTTTTCTTAATTTTCTACATCACTTCTGGGAGAGCGTTTTTTTATCAGATATTTAAAAATTTAAGCAAGGAGAATCTGAAATCAGGTGTTATAATTCAGAAATTTTACAAAATAACAAATATTTTGTATTTATTAGTTGAGCCACTTCAAGAATTGAAGAGCCGAATGCGGCTTGGCCATTCTTCTACTATTATTACATATTTCTACCTATTTTCGAGTTAAACATTATTGGTTTATACTTGAGCATTTTGATGAGTTTCAATTGGTCGTTGTAATAAAACCCTTGTATAAATTTAAATAATAAATATGAAATGGTTTTATATTCCACCAAAAATTCAATTTTAATTTACAAAGTATATAAAGTTTAAGATGAATATCACGGTCAGAGTATGAACGTAAATACAGAAACATCTATTTGATAGACATAATTTGTCAGGTACTAAATAACCTCACCGTGACGATATAGACTTTATAATATGTGTATTGTAATATCTATAGTTGTTATAGCTGTTTTTTTTTTAATCTTTTCGACCCTATTTTTGTCACCCTTTCGGTGCTTGTCGACCACACAATGGATTTTATTGTTGGTGGGTCGAACCTGCTACCTTATGAATGAAATTTTATGACACAGACGACCATAGCTATTATTTGTATGTTTAAAGGCACTATTTACATTTTTAAAAGTTATTGTGCTTGTCCACACTTAAGTATATTTAGTCTAGCGCAAAGGAACATTTATGGCTGTTTTATTACCACTCTAAATAGGTCTCTTAAAATTAGTTATATAATATTCAATTATTTACTTAAAACTAGTAAAATTTATCTTAGGAAAATCAGAAAAAAAAATGATGGAAGTTCTTCTGATAAAACTGTAGTACATATAGTACAAGTCGTCTTAATCGACATTCGCCAGGCAATTGATTTTTTTTTACATAAATCCTTTTTTTTATTTCAGATTACTTATTATGCACGAAGCATTACAGTCGTCCAGACCATTCGAGTAGGCCAGTCGACCAGATGTCCCGGGATTTGTCCCAATTTTTGTTTAGATGTCCCGCAAAGCAATTGACTTTGTTTTACATAAATTCGTTTTTTTATTTCAGATTACTTATTATGCACGAAGCATTCCAGAAATCGTCCAGACCATTCGAGTAGAGCAGTCAAACAGATTTACCGGGATTTGTCCCAATTTTTGTTTAGATGTCCCGCCAAGCAATTGACTTTTTTTTACATAAATTCGTTTTTTATTTCATATTACTTATTATGCACGAAGCATTCCAGTCTTCCAGACCATTCTAGTAGAGCAGTCGACCAGATGTCCCGGGATTTGTCCCAATTTTTGGTTAGATGTCCCGGTCAGAATCCTAGTCATGTCCCAGTAGTTGGTAAGTTCGCCATGCGATTTACCGACATTAAACTAGAATTCGATGACAGCATCAAAGTCTGTCCATTAGTCATTCTTAAGCGTCATTACTTACACGAAAAAAATGTCTTTGTCACAAACCAAGGAAAAACTTAATTTCCTGATGCAAAGCTTCTTTGCGAATAAGAAGAAAATGCAGAAGTTAACAACAGTGTATAATGATGAAGTGACTACCGAAAAGATTAAGCAACATCTTACTTATAAATTTTTAACGGAACCATCAAAAGTGGGAAATTTCCGATCCATTATCCTTAATTCTTACCAAAAACCAATAAGCGAGAAGCTTATATCAGAACAAATGTGGTGGATGGATGTCAGCAGAATCACATACGATGTTGTAATTGTTTTAAATTGCTGCGATGACATCATTCGTCACAACCTCGGAAAATGTTACATTGCCGAAAGCAGATGGACCATGGAGGACTACCTCAGGCAGGTGAAGAGCCTATTATGTTTGGCTAAAACATTACTCGAATTAGCTGAACATATCGAATTTCTTATCGATAAGAATGTAAATGGTAAAAATAACCACAAAGTATTTAATAGATGTAAGGAATTATTCATACCATTTACTGAAAAGTATGAAATTTTGTGCGACTATGCACAATTATTTTATATTAATATCCATTAGTTCTGTTTACAAATAAAATTTATAAATATATATTGTATTTATCACCAAATATAGAATCCAAAGACCTCCAATGTACAAGGAGTTGATATAAAAAAAATGTTCTTTCTTATATAATAACTTTTAAAAACAATCATGTTAAACTATATAATATCTAACTATATAATATCTTGTTCCGTCTAATATCATTTAAATGATATTATATTTTATATAAAATATATTACTTGCTAATTACATTGATCGTATTTGTCTTTAATCATTATTTTATATTCCTCACTTTCCTGTAAAAGCTTTCCAAATTTATAAAGAACATCATCCAGACTTGCTGGACGATGATTGTAAATAATTTTCAATCTTTCCTCAAAGTCTCCAAGTTTTCCTAATAGGACTACAGATTTTGAAACTAGACTTTTTGAATCATTCGAAAGATTATCTACCATGCTATGAATTTGATTAATACGTGAAGTCGCATTACAAAACTTTGCATTGATATCAAACAAATTATGTTTAATATTTACTGCTTGCATTTTCACATTTCTGGATGATGAAAGTATCATTTCAGCTTCTTGTTCGTTACGTACTAAATTCAAATTGATGGAATCTATTGACACCATCATATTATCAATAGAATATGACTGTTCCTCCAATAAGGTCTGCGTTCTTTGCAATAACTCTTCAAACTGAAAATAACAGAATTTTAAATAAAGTAAGTAATAATCAAATAATTTACCTTTTCTGGAGCAAATGCATTATTGTACCAGTTATGTTTTGATGTTTCGAAGCCTTCTTTAGCTGTGTTCAAATCTCGATTACTTTCTTTAATATTAACCATAATATTATTCATTTGATAATCAAATCCATGTAAGTCAGATCTACAAAAGGATAATATTTATCATGATTTACTAATTTAAAATACCATACTTACTCAGATCTCAAAGTACGTTCACTTAAATTGGTTGCCAAATCAAGCTTCTCAAATGTTTCTTCGACAACTGGATCTACGTTTGTCAAAACGCATGCATTCTTCTTTATATTTGATATAAGCTTTCGCGTTTCTTTAGCTGGAATATCCATTTTCATAATATCTTCCGCCACCTTAAGAATATGAACTGGTGTTAGTAATTCTTCCATCAAATTTTCAATAATTTTATCAATTGCTGTTTGCACATCTATGATATTATTATACATCATTTTAACGTCTTTATAGTTTTCCATAGAGGCATTCAAAGCTGTTCTTGTATCAGAAATTGGAAGATTTCTGATGAACGTGTTTGCCTTTATATTAATTTGTTGAATTTCATGATTTGCCTTGTTTAATGTATTATTGGCTAACTCGGAATCTTTATTTTTGTAAATGATGTTCTTGGCTATCTTAAATTTATTTTTTAATATAGAAATTTCTTTTTTAATACTTTTCAGCAAATCTTCAACAATTTCACTTTGACTTTCGGTGATTTGTTCCGTTTGTCGAAGCATGGTTTTGATTGAAGTACTCTGTCTATCTGCATGTTCCAGGTACTTGTCAGAGCTATTTATCCTAGATATTGCTCGATCTGCTTTCTCCTTTCCATCATCAATAGCATACAGCGAAGCCGGGACATTCATGCTATCCATTTCAATTTTGAAATAAGATAATTTATTTAATTCATCATCAAGTTTCACCATTTTACTATTGATACATTCCAAATCATATTTGAACAATTTACTCTCAGTCGATGTCTTCACTAATTTCACTTCTAATTTCTTTGCTTTTACTTTGATGTTACTAATGTCATTATTCAACTCGATAGACCTTACATCCATTGGTCGTAGATCTATCTTTTTCAATGTACGTATTGTATTGTCGACATATTCGATGTTAGATTCGATTTCGGTAAATTCTTCAATGTATACACCTGTAATACCATTTGCCCTGATCATTTTATATTTCTGGATAAATATATTAGCCTTCTCTAAAAATAGAAATTAAAATAAGAAGGTTATAATACAAACTAGAATTGTCTTAAGATCTCACCCTTGTGCGCCATTAAAATACGGTCCCAATTATCGAAACATTCCTCGCATAAAATACAGGAACTACCAAATTTCTTGTAACCTCTTACACAATTATCGCAGAACTGTCCACCTTTTCCCAAATGACAAGAACATTTACCTGTCTCTCTATCGCATTGTAACGTTGTAGATCCATCAGCATCGCAGAGGCATTCTAGAAAAAGTAATTTATTATAGAAGATTTGATAATTTCAAACCGTACTAATCGAAGTCGTACTATGAGAAATATTGCTGTATCGAAAATTTCTTAATTCAATAGAATATATTTTATTCCTACTCTTAATTTAAACAAAACGTTTTCATTTAATTATGCTAATTTTTCAAATAAATTAACTATACAACAAAAAAAAGTATACCTTTGCATTGGTCTTCCTCTGGATTTCCCCAGAAATTTTCTTTGCACTGATTGCACTGTATTCCACCATAATTTGATCTACATTCACACTGACCTGTATTCTGTAAATATTTCTTTAGTATTAAGTTAGAAAATATACAATGACAATTCTCACCAAATCACATTCTGTTGACGTAGATCCTACTGAATAGCAATTACAAGATTCACATCCTTCACTACTTTTTATGTTCCAATGGTTCTCAATGCACTCGTTACATTGCATTCCTTGCACGTTAGGAAGACATGCACATTGGCCTGTTTCACTGTTACAAAAACCATTAACATCAGTACCATATGGATCACAATTACAGTCTAAAAAAGAAAACATTGTTCATTGGAAATATATGTTATAACAGCGTTTCTCAACCTATGGGTCGCGACCCAAAATTGGTTTGCACCTTAAGTCAAAGTAAATATAATAATTGGATTTCTGTAAAACTACAAACAAATATGTTGGGTCGCAAAAAGGTTGAGAAATACTCTGTTATAATACTGTACCAAAACAATCTCCATGTTCCAAACGGTAGAAGTTTTTTTTGCATATTTCGCAGTGGAAACCAGCCGTATTATACAAGCACCCAAGACATTTTCCAGTATTTACATCGCAATTTCCCGGTTTACTTAAATCGATGTTTTCATTACATTCACACGGTTTACAGGAACCTCCAGGCATTCTTGGATTCCCATAATAATTATCTGCACATTCATCACATCTTTCCCCTTTATATCCTTCAAGGCATTTGCAAACTACATTGTTCGAAAGCAATTCGCATCCTGTTGCAAAATATTGATTGGATCCAGCTACGCCTGGACATGGACAAGCCCTGCATGCTATTTGTTTATCCAAATCTGGTCTACCGTAAAATCCCTCTCGGCATTCATCACAGTTGTCGCCTTGGGTGTTGTCTTTACATTTATTGCAAGCTCCAGTCTCTGCATCACAAGTGTCAGCGTGTCCATTGCATTTACATCGAACGCAGTTTGGATAATTCCAAAAACCAAGTAAGCACTGATTGCATTGTTTTCCATAAATGTTTTTACGGCAATTGCATTGACCATTTGCATCACACATGTTATCCAAAGATGTAAGGGAATTACAATCACAAGCTAAAATAACAAAAATATCCAGTTATTCAATATTTTATAAATTAACTACTAAGAATCGAAATTTCTTGAAATAATCTTTAAAAGTAAAATATTAAATATAAATTTATGTATTTACATTTGCATCCTTCAGAGCTTAAATCAAATGTACCAGGTATGCATTTGTCACATTTTCTTCCATAAACATTTGCCACGCAAGAACAAGCACCTCCCATCCTGTTACACAACCTACTGGAAGATCCGGATACATCACAATCGCAAGCTGAAAATTATTTGTCAATACAAAATAACGTCGAACAATAATGGATATTTATAAATAGTTACGTAAGGCACCGTTGGAATAGTAGACGCCGACGGTTTCGTTCTTGCAGTCTCTGGGTGAATTCGAGTTTCTCAGGCAATTACTAAATGTATTTTGATATATGCTCAGCCTAGGTATATTTGCAATGTTTGGAAGAAGCATTATCTAAAATTTTCAATAAAAGATAGTAGGTTAAAAAGATATAAACTGAAGATTTAAATATTCTTAAAAAAATGAATTGTCACGAAATAAAAATTAAAGTTATTGTTACGTTTTAGAGTTTAATATATCTTGACATTTTACTTTCAATAAATTTGTTTATTATGAAAATATCAAAATTTTATAATATAGCTTAAATTATAATAGTATATTTAGAGTGTCATTTATATACTTACTGCGTCTATAAGTACGTTCGCGTCAGCAGTTTCAACAATGAATGTAATTTGATAAGTCAACCCTTTTTCGAGACAAATTGGTTCCGGAATTTCATATTTATTTAATTTGCCATCTAATTTCGCCACATAATCATTGATTTCACTTTTATTGCAAAAGCCGCTTTCATATGGTCGTTCAATTTTCATCCTTACTTCCCAATCCTGACTGGATTCATACAATATGGTTAAGTGGTAAAGCATTGACTTCAAGACATTCTTTATTTCGAAAGAGATCCTCGATTTATAAAAAACTTTTATAAATATTTGTCCGTTCCAGGAATGTTTTAAATTGTTTTTTTTAGGTTCCCGAATAATAATTTGACAATCCTGTAAATAATTTATGAATATATATAATGAAGAGAATCTATTAACATGTACCTGTGATCTTTTGGCAAAATCCGCATCGTATAGAAATAAGGAAATTGTGGGTATATAAAATCGTTCCTCAGGTTGCAAACATTTTTTACCAGACATATGACTCCTACACTTGCATTGACCTGTCACTGCGTTACAGGTATAACCATATGCACCATCTGGATCACAATTGCAAGGAGTGCAACCAGTATCTTGGTTATTGAGACCCCAATACCCGTCCTTACATTTATCGCATTTATAACCCGTAACATATTTCTTGCATATGCACCCTCCAGTATGCACATTACACTCTGTACCAAGGGATCCCAACGAATCGCAATTACAAGGACTGCATCCTTTTGGGTTTGCTACATTAAAATTCCAAAAACCTTTCTTGCATGAGTCGCAGCGTTTCCCTTCGACATTTTCCTTGCAATAACATTGTCCTGCGATCATATTTCTCTTCTCGTCAGTTACAGAACTGCAAATCATATCACCTTTCATAATTCCGCTCACATTGCAATTGCATGCTGTAATCAATCCACAATGAAGATTAGCTTCAAATAATCGTAAAACTCCATGTCGTGCTTACGTAAACATACTCTAGGATCAGTAATCGCCTTTGTTTCGTCCCTGTAGAAATACCTTTTGCAAGTCTCGCATTGGTTACCAGCCGTGTTATGCTTGCAGCGACTGCATACTCCGCCGCTTATGAAACCTGAGGCATTGTATACTCGCATATCGAAATGACAACTATTTGCATGGTTATTGCAGTTACATTCTGAAAATCAAATGCAGACATTCCTAGTATTAGAAATATACACATATTTTTTAACATTTTAGTGATTTTCTTGTAAACTATAAAAGATGTATATGAAACTTGGATGTTTGAAGTACTCACTCTGACATACGTTGTTTTGTTTATCTGTGGATGGTTTCCACGGTAAATCATTGTAAAATTCTCGACACTTTTGACAATTCGGGCCGTCAGTGTTATGTTTGCACCGGCATTTGCCATGAACCATATGGGGTGAAGAATCGTATTTGGAAAATGGCATACAGGAATCAGCGTGACCGTTGCAGAAACATGACCCACGCACGACCATTTCATTAATTGCATAATAATATTTTTGCTAAAACAAAAAAAAACAACTGAAATATCCAAACGCACGAATGACATTAAGTACCTTGTACTTCATACTTTTATCCAAGATATGATCGCCGAGAGTATGAAGCTTAGTGAATTTTAATCGTAAATTAGTGACAAGCAAAAGGTCCTCTAAATTCGAAGTATTTTTGAACTGTGGCAACAACGATTGGTATACCATTTCTCCATTAGTTGATGGTGTTATATCAGAGTACTTGGATACGCAAGTCACTTCACTAGGACTCGAGGGTGATCCTTTGGGTATACCTGGAAAACTAAGATCGCAGTCGCTTGCATAATACGCGCACACCTGCCAAGTCCTTTGAAAATCCGACGACTTCTCCACTAACATCGCAGCAGGCCTAAAACTTTGAAATATCATGGTAAAATGAGTCATCAAGAACTGAGTCTCCAAATTTAGCTGAATCCAAACATTGTCCTTGCTGTTTTCCGACTGCCACCATGTTGTTATACCGGATCTGAAAATTACGTATTTGCAATAGACAAGCAGATCACATGCACACGACCATTCCTCACTCTTTATCGACTTTACTGATAATGTTCGAAATTTGATGATTCTTCGAAATATCCTTCGAGCGGGAGTCGCACACCATCGAATGATTGTTCTCCAAATTAGAAACGATGTAATATGATTCCGGGGAGTTTAAGCCACATGTAGATGAAGCATACAACCTGTCTTCTCTACCAATCAAGAGATTCCCAATAGGTAAACAAAATTTTCCTGAGCATTCACCTATAAAATCACATTTGTGCATTCTCACCTAATGGTATATAAGTTATCATACTCACCTTTAACATAACTGGATTGATCTCCACAAAGCACTGAAAATAATATGTTAATATTAATCTTAATTAAACATTGTTTACTCACAAATCGCAATTAAAAATAACATAATTGTATAATTCATCATTCTTAACCATACTCGACAGAGAAGTTCAACAGAATGAGCATGCAAATGATATAAAGACTAGGTGGTCCAAAAGTTGCTGAGTTGTAGATAACGTATTACCAAGAAAAGGTATAGAGCGTATACGATTTTGCTGCCACTGTTATAATTGAAATAAAATTACATGCGCATTTTTTTTAAATTCATACATTGCATTTTTACTGAAATAAATAAATGATACATTTATTTATTATAATTTATATTATAATGTATATTATAATTTATTTACAATTGCCCATCCAAGTAATCGAAACTTAATAGTTTAGGAATTAGCTGCGGAATTTCTAATCATCTGTGCATTCCGTGTTTTAGCCGAGGAAAATCAATAGGGCAAAGGACTGCGGCGTCTAGCGCCGAAGCGTCGAATACAGTTCTGGAAAGGTCCTGCATCAAACAGGGCTGCTCAAAGACGTTACGTTCATGTACCACCGGGAAATAGTTACACGATAATTAAGGAATTGGCTGTTAAATGAGATGAACTCTAATTGTACACGCTTCATAAATCTATAGCTATGTGCAATTGATTCGCAACATGCATCAGTGTTAACGAGTGTTTTTGCTTTGAATAGTTATCAATTGAATAATAGAGATGTGGAAGTGGTTTGTGGCATGGAAATAAAAACGTACAAGAAAGTCGCCATCGCCCTGATCATCTTAGGATTAATTTCGTTCTATCTGTCCTACACCTACAACTCCTGCATCGTAGCAAGCATAGCAAAGTCGCTACCAAAAGTAAGTGATTTAGATTTGCTTAGTCCTCTATTACATGAGTTTTGGATACTTTGTTGTAGTGGCGTCGGGATTCCGTTGTTATTAACGAAAACATCCACCTGCATTACTCCACATCGGTCCGCGTGGTGCCTTTGCTCGATGGAAACGAGTCATTTGCATCTCCAAAGTATCGTTTCTTTAGAGAGCAAGGTTTGAGGCCGGTGAGACAGTTACCTAATGCTCTGATCGTTGGTGTCAAAAAAGGTGGCACACGTGCTCTTCTAGAATTTATCCGTGTGCATCCAGATGTCAGAGCTGCCGGTAAAAGATATATTAAACATCTAAATAAATTAATGTTAATGTTATATTGCTTCAGGTAATGAAATCCACTTCTTCGATAAATATTATAGCAAGGGATTCGAATGGTATCGTCAGACCATGCCGCCGACCTTGGAAGGTCAGTTAACTATAGAGAAAACACCTTCGTATTTTGTAACGAAGGAAGCGCCTCGCAGGATACACCTGATGAATCCATCTACAAAACTCTTGGTGGTTGTTAGGGACCCTGTGACCAGAGCTATATCAGATTACACTCAGGCAATTTCTAAGAAACCCGATATGAAAAAATTCGAAGCGCTCTCCTTCATAAATTCATCAATGAGGATGAAGGAAGTGGATACCAGCTGGGGTCCCGTCAAACTAGGATTGTACGCACGTTATTTACTCAGATGGCTTAAGTACTTCCCTCTGTCGCAATTCCTCTTCGTAAGCGGGGAAAGGTTGGTCGTGGATCCAGCGATGGAGTTGAAACGCGTTCAGGATTTCCTTGGTCTGAAACGCGTCGTCACCGAGAAGCATTTTTACTTCAACTCGACGAAAGGATTTCCATGTTTGTTCAAAAGCGAGGGTCGAGGCTCCCCGAAATGTCTAGGAAAGACGAAAGGCAGGAATCACCCGTACATCGATCCAGGTGTACTGCAGAAACTCAGGGACTTTTATAGACCATTTAATAACAGATTTTACCAGATGACCGGCATCAATTTTGGCTGGTCCTGAAGCACTGATTTGCATCACATGTTACTTCTACTCCGCTCTCGTCTAGCTTCGAAATATCATTTGTATATTACAGGGTCTGTAGGGCCGTAGGTTCGTTTGCACAATCAAGTCAATTTTTAACGAATAATAACGTAATTACCTCCGAAACATTAGCGTTACCTTAGGATTTTTTGGACGAAGGTCGTACATATCTCGAAGCCATAAGACGATCAGAATATTTACAGTTTTTCTACACGGGATAGTTTTACCTATGTACAATTTTTTGGATTATCACATTTTATAGACTCTTAAATAAAAAAATTAAATTAAATACACAGTTTTACTTTCCTCCATCGATCTCCTGCACACATCTATAAATTTCTTATTCAAATTTCTAAATATAGTCTGAATTTTCGTAATAATTATTTACAAGTTGTAAAATGGTAGAAATTAAAAATATTTTTTTTCATTAAAAATTACAATTATTTCTATAATTAATTTATTGTAATTGTCAGAACTCGATAACAATACTATCTTAATAATAATAATATAAAATTAATCATCGGACAAAAAATATTCTTACAATAAATTTCAGTTTAATTTATCTATTTAATTCTGTAATCGGCCGTTGGTGATTTGTATTAGGTAATAGGATAATATCTAATTGTGTCATTAAATAAAAAAAAACAGCATTTTTTAGTAGAGTAGAACGTGTATTAAGGATTAATAAAGATGAATATAAAAATATAATTAAAAAAATAAAGACATCTTGAAATTCATTTTAGAGATGGGTGGAAACCAAACCTTGCACAATAAAACCTTCGGGAGTCTTGAATGCACAGCACACATCATTCAAATAAACACAAGAATAAACAAACAAAATATAAAATAATACAATATTTACATAATACTAAAAATAATACTTAAAGCGTTATTTTGTATAATTATATATGTATACATAAATGTATATGTTTATACATGTAGCGTACACATTAAGGTAAAGCTATCATATAAGTTGTATATATTTCGAAATAAAGGTAAATTTGAGGGTTTTCTAAAGAATATTTGTCAGAGCGATTACTAAAATCGCAAATTAAGTGATATCTGTTTCTAAACACCGACTTAAGTAAATTTCATACAGAAAATTTATATCTCTCCAGATGTGGAAATTTGGCCAACTTGGAACCAGGTGGTCTCTTTGTAAAGGAACCATAAATCGGTAGCCCATAAGAAGAAGTTTAAGAATCCCAAAATCTAAAAAATAAATAAAGAAATTATATTAAGATAATTATAATGTTAATAAATATTTGTTATCATATTATTGATTTAGAAGAAAATTGGTCCACTTACCACGGATACATTCAGTGATGAGAAACTACTAACTGATATTGGGCAACGTGTACAAATTCCCAAGTTATCCCATTGAATGTAGTCATCATGAGAAATGTATTTCATGTTGGCCAGAGCATTGGCCCAAGAAGCGCTGCTGGATACCCACAAAACGGCTATAAAAACGGTCATGAAGAAGTCCTGAAAACCATGTAAAGTGAAATACAATTCGTAGTTAAGATGAGATTTACTCACAAATACTGGCAATCTGTTATCAGTCCTATACTTGTTATCAAATTTGGTGTAAACAATCATGATGAACAAGCAATAAAGCATGGCAATAACACCGCTTGCTACGAAGAATTTAGCGTCGGAAGAAAAGTCACTGGAGATCTTCACCCTAGGTGTACAATTGTTTTTAGCGCCTAGGTTCAATTCTTGGTTCAGCAACAAATTGAACGGGTACTCGAATGAAAATTTGTATGGCACATCACACATGAAGTCTATGAACCCAGTATAGTTAACAGTGGTCGCAAATGCACTTATCGCAAACATCTGCAAATATAACATGACAATTATACAGAAATAACAAATTCGAATCAAGTTACTAGTTGCAAAATGCGCATAACTCCTCTGGGCTCCTGGAAAACCGATAAATTCAGATCCATGTCGACACCTAAAAGCAATTGCCATATTACGTTCTGGGTCAATTTCATTTATAAAGATGACAAATTAGGAATTAATTAAAACTAATGGTCCCTTTGTTGTTGTTTTTTTTTTAATTTTAAATTTCAATTAAAGGTGTAATAGTAATGTAGTAATAGTATCAGAGCGCTATACATTCTATCAAAAGTGCATTAACTTTTACCTTAATCTGAATGAAACATAAACAGTAAGTTGTTGTTTTAGTAAGCACTGCACCTTTATTTCTAACAAACAGTAAACGCCTGACGAGCCTAGCGCACTAACAACCACCTACGTTCTTGTAAATGTTGTCAACCATTGATCAGTGGTAGCCAACGTAAGACTAAGAAGAGCTTAGGCAACTAACAATACTTTCAATCAAAACAAGTTTATTTCTTAAGTAATCAATAGTTTCTATCATTTTGAAAGCATCTGATTATGTATACCACATTCATCTATATGTACGTTATTCATGAGCCATAAACAATCCAGCAGTACAAATCAATACAGAAGACTTTCAGTATTTCTGTCCTGGCAGCACTGCCATAAAAAATATGTCAACATGGGACGAAGAAAACAATTGTTCTATAAATAACGTATCATAAAATAAGCATCCGGCACAGGCTAAATGAGAGAGGTGGTGGAAAAGAAGAAGAAGAAAATAAGCATCAAATCAATATTCGTTTAAAATCACTATTTGCTTTAAAAGAGTAGAAATATGATAGGAATTTGTCTTTCATCAACAATCTACAGAGTATATTTAACATTGTTTTGCTTTGAGATTATTCATCTCAAAAATAAAACCAGAAATCATAAAAACAAGATTTGTTCTCCATTTCGAATACAATCATCTTATTTTTTCCAAAGAGCGGATATTGTTTTAAAAATATTTTTTTTATAATTGAACCAATATCAGCAAACAAATATAATATAAGCAAACAATGTTATAAATTTTAATCTATGCATAACAATTGTTTTCCTAGTACGTTTCATCAACATATATATTGTTTTTTGTTTTTCGATGAGTAGTGAGAATTGCGCGAGAAATTACTAAGCACTTGTTTACGTGAGGATAAGAGGGGAGCCAAGAAAGAGCAAGAGACTGTTTTAGTATACTATATTAAACGCGCAGTAAGGAGGAGGTCTTTCAACTAAAAGTATGCTTGTTGTATACTTGCCGGGAGGATTTCCTCCTATTAGGTTATTGCCTATTGCCGCCTTGCGTTATTTTTCACTTGAGTGTTGATCAATACAGTTGCCAATAGTTATCGGTCATCCATCCGATAAATAGACGCGACCAACTTTGCTTAACTTTTCCGAAGCTGGCAGTCATCAGCCACCCGATAAGCGCCACCACCGGCGTGGTTCGGTAGTTTTCCTATTTTTCCCTTTTTTAAGTTCGCCATTCCAAAATTGCCCCGGTTTGTTCATTCACAAATTGCAAGCCCTGACAATACCTGTACAGTTCCGAGAGTAACATTGTATAGAATATACATATATTTAATCTTAAGAATAACTTTAATTAACGGTGACGGACATTTCACAATGGCAAACATGAAGGGCCTTGCAATTATTTTGTTGTTTGCAATCAGTGCAATAACTGCAGTTCATTGCAGAAGTGATCACAAGAATGATCCCCGCAGTAATGGTGATTTAGCCCTATGGATAGATGAGAAACAAGTCAAGATGTTCAGTGGTATGTATTCAAACTATTTGTTATTCTTTTAAACTGACATTTCTATTCCAGGAATGGTTATGGAAATTTATGCAATAAGAAATGGAAATGTATCTCCATATATACTTGATCCAAACTTTGAGAAGTATCTTCCAATAATACCATCGGAAGTGAGTCATGTGAACTTTATATGGAAGGCTGGACTCAAGAAGTATTATTATAATTTTGATAGGCTGCAATCCTTTGATGAGAGTATCTTAAGTGCTCCAGTAATATCAATAAAAACAAAGGGTCGAGTACCCAGGAGACCTAAAGAGTTTAGCATTCTATTACCATGCCTGGGTAACAGCTCTGGTATTGCAACATTTAGCATTGGTTTGCTAATAGAGAGCCGTAAAGGGAGGCCCTTAAATGGTACACCACTTAGACTCAAACTACGGAAGGAATGTTCTCAACGTAACCCAGATCCAGAATGTGATAAGAAATGTGCAAATCAGGGATGGTGCAATAGAGAGAAAATATGTCAATGTCCTGAAGGCTACATGGGCCAATATTGCAGAACTGCACTGTGTTATCCACAATGCATGAATGGAGGTAATTGTACCTCACCAGGAGTATGCAGTTGTCCACCTGGATTTCAAGGGAGACATTGTGAAGGGGGTATTTGCAGTGAGAAATGTTTGAATGGAGGAAAGTGCATTCAGAAAGATACTTGTGAGTGTCCGAAAGGCTATTATGGTTTACACTGTGAATATTCCAAATGTATAATATCATGCCACAATGGAGGCAAATGCAGAGGTGTCAACAAATGCAAATGTCCACAAGGTTTTCGGGGTGACCATTGTGAAATTGGTAGAGGTAAACCTCACCGCAGTACATGTAAAATTGCTTGCAAACATGGTACATGTATAGATAACAATTGTGTTTGTGAGCCAGGCTGGTATGGGAGATTGTGCCATCATAGTAAGTAGAATACTTAGTAATTATTTATGATTGTTTCATTAATATTTATTTCTTTTTCAGTGACATTGAAGTAAGACTGTTTTGTTGACTTATAACATGTATGTTAAGTGCTTTAAAGTGAAAATCCACTGTATTTTTGAATAATTTTACACTTTTTTTTTATATGATAATTTACTATAAATAAAATGAAAGTCATTGACTATTGCTTATAAAATAAACCTCTTTCATTTTCACCTCAATAACTGAACAATCATTAATTAAAACACAATCAAATTTAATTTTTATAACAAGTCTAGATTAATAAAGAAATAATATTTATTCAACCTACACTACTAATTAATTATTTTAAATTTAACCTGTAATACTTTTTTCTTAGTCAATCTTAAATTAAAATAAGAGCAGAAAAATAAATAAAATTGTTATAGTTTTGTATATGTATGTGATAAAGAATATTTATTAATTAAAATTGTAGAACTGAAACAATACGTAGTTACACAATAGCCAATTGTGTATTTTTATGGAAAACTATAAATATTGTTTATAACCAATTATTCTACTTCATGCCACGAACAAGCAACATGATAATAACAGGAAATATGCATAAAAACACATTTGCCATTAAATCTATACAGTGATTAATTCAAAACAATGGATTTTCTTTTATAGTCAGAAAATTGAAAGACGTTGTTTTCTTATCAAATTAATGGTCTAATTCTAAAATAGAAATAATAATTGCAATGAGTTTTTTCATAATTTTAAATAAAGTAAAATCACTGCTGTATTTCCATGCTGCTCAATGTATTAATCAAATTTAAATAAAAATTGAACAAAAATTTAGTGGTTAAATACAATTCAAATTGTTAATTTGTTTGTTTTTTGTATCTTGCTATTGTTTCGGTATCTCCTAGTTTCCATGTCCTCTTATTTATAATATACTAATGATTTTTACTGTTTTCTAGTGGAACAATTAGATTTGCCATTTTCCAATGATAATCTTGAATGACTTCATATATTGACAGTCTGAATTATCATGTATTAACACTTTACGTAAATTTTTCCACACATAATGTTATTTGTTTCTCTTATACTGTTGTGTCCAGCCATTATTATTATAATTGTTCTTATTAATATTGTGTATTAACGAACTAGAGACATTCACGGCGTCTCTTAGTCGCATTATTATATAAACATGTACATCAGCATAAAGGAATCTCCATCGTGATCCCGATTCGATACACTTAATATACGTACAATCGTCATCAATCATCTTTTTCATATAAACAATTGCATAGGATTTTGTCCCGGTCTTATAATAAACAAAATCACCAAGGCCGAATCCCGTGGGAACGCTTAATTATCAATATGTACAAATCCTACTCCCACCCCGTATTAATAAGAATTAACTTTGTAAGTAGAATAAGTATTTAGAATTAGTCTTAGTCAATCTTTTAAAGCAGTGGTCCCCAACCCCCGATCCATGGACGAGAGGTTATTTATGTTTTTATTATATTCTGAATCTATTTATATTTTATATCTGTATTAAAGTTTACTTTTATTGTTGCAAAAAGTATGTATGTTATTAATCTTTTCTGTAAATACAATAAGTAAATTACTAATCAAATATGAACAATACAAAATTTAAAAATATGTAGGAACATCAAAGAAATATTTTCAGTCAAGAAATTGATAAGATTGTAATGTTTTTCAATTTTATCAGAAAAATATTTTGATGCTATTTATGGAAATAAGCAGACACATCAATCATTCGTTTATGGACAAGATCTTAACTTCATTTGATATGTTTGAAATTTCTAGAATTATTTTCCTTAAAATGTCCTATAAATATACTTAAGAAATTATATATACTTTCGTGGGGGGACATTAAGAGAGAAAGAGAGGACATACTTAATAATTTAAAATTGTGCACGTTTTCTAAATATGTGAGTCTAACGTTCATTTTGAAAATGCACACGCACTCTTTTCAGAACATTAACCTTTACCCTGTCTGTATCCATCTATATACGTCTTACGAGAAATGCGTTTTGGTTATTACACGAGTGAACTTAAATATTTTAAATTAATTTTAATCAGTCAACAAGTGATTAGTTTTGTTTATATTTATTAAGCAATTAGATAACTGATAATAAACAACAACAAAAAAACATAATTTCGTTATCGTATGAAAATTAATTGTGGACGAAATAATTAGCGGATTTTTTTTTTAAGCATTGTGCAATGTTTACCAAAAATAACTTGTAGTTCTTATGATGATTGTATATTGTTCATCTGACTTGAAATATGATTTTCGACAACGCAAGACAAAATATAATTACAGGTATCCTCTGACTTACAAACTCCCGGAGTTACGAACAAAATTCTAAAAGCTCTAACTTGTTACAAGGTGATAAATAGTGATAAAAAATATACAGTCATAACTGTCGAAACAAATTGATAATTTATAATTTTATTAAATAATTGTGATGTCTACATTGAAAAGTATTTGTAAGTTATTTTGTTTATTTTAATCTATTTTTCAAATTTATGCAGTCAGTAATACTGAATTTAACATATATGAAAGTAAAAACCCCCGACATACGAACAAATTCGAGTTACGAACAACCCTTTGAAACGAATCTAGTAAATCCTGTTACCAGAGGACAAAAGTATGTGGATTGAAATCACAATTGAAGAGTATTTCAGACAAATAAAGAGTCTAATAAGTTGTATGATCAAATCAAATTGGATCAATTTTCAGAGAACATTTGTTATTGAATGTAAAAGGATAAATTGATAATGTAAAGTCGCAAAATATACTAAATTTTATTTACTATATGGAATGACCTTCACGTCGTTTGTCCTAGACGTTGACATCATTCACGAATTTATATGATAGGATTTAATAAAATTTATAAGATTTTCCTCAAATAGAGGTATCCCCCGACTTCCGAAGTTTTTTTTTGCATAGATATTTATATTCTACTTTTTGGTTATTGTATCAAAGATACACAGGAAGAGACACGTGTTAAAATTTGAATGCAATTGTATACAATTCACCATATACCTGATACTGAAATATGATCTTATACCAAAATCCATTTGTATTCGTACCAGAGAAGGCACCAACAACATCCGTAATAAACGTGCTGTAAGATTACATTTGAAGAAATTTACAATTATAATTTTTTATTTTGTTTTATTTATTTATTTTTATAATAGATGCAATTTATATTTCTTAATAATATGTATTATATATTCTCATAACGATTAAAATTATATATTTATATACATATTTCGCTGCAATTTAGTACACTTTCTCTCATATTTTGCATATAGAAATTCCACATTTATTTAACCATTTAAATTTCTTGTTTATCAAATTATAAAACAGATTAAATGAGTTATTCGATTTTATATTAAAGTTATTAAAATCTCTCCTATTCCTGGTGAAACGTCCTTCGATTTACACGCAGTTCTGCATGATTGCATATAAAAAATTAAAATAATTAAGGAAATAATCATCCAATACAATTTATGCCAATTAGAATGTACAATTGTATTTATATAACAATAAGCATTTTAAAATTATATAATTTTAAATGTAATAGTCTTATTTTTCTTCTTCTTGTTTAGAATAATATAATTCTCATTCTGTCTCATTCAATCCGAGAACGTTGACGTCTACATATCAATTCTACATCTTATAAGAACATCTAACGCCGCAATTTGATTTTAACATGTTAACATATCTAATTTATACCCTTCCAAGCTCTCTCCAAGAACCTATGTACTGAACCGCTGGGACCCCGTATCCTTACTTATTTTTACCTGTCTTGTCAGTATCTATCTTATGTATGTATTTTATTGAAGTTATTTTAAGTTTGGTCTAGTAGTTTAAAGAAGTTAAGATATTTTTTAGTTAAGTTAGAAGAAGCTGATTATTTTATTTATTTGAGTTGAAAAAGAAAGTTTTAGTTTGTTTTGATTTGATTGAACAGACAGTGGCTGTTATTAAACAACAAAGATATTAAAATAATCCAAGAAAATAATTTTAATTCATTTTTTTTAATGTAGCAACTGTACACTTTTACGAGTCGCTACTGGAAAATTATAAGAAAATACTGGAACTTTCTTTAATAATAATTTGATAGACTTTACATTTGTAGGACAAAGTTTGAATAAATTTATATTAATAATAATGTTTATTGCATCAGTCGTACAAAAAAAACATATACAGAAATAAAAAGAACAAAATAAATGTATATCATTTCAAAAAAGTCAACTGATACAAAGGGCTATTAACCATAGGTCTTTCTGCCCAATTTTTATTATTTAATGATTAATATAATTCAACAAATCTAATAGAACATAGACGAATTACTTAACACATATTCACACAAAGCACATTGCTGAAGGATTTCGTGTTCATGTTAACATTTGTATCAAATTTATTTACTACATGTATACTTAAAACTGCAATATATAGACTATAATGATCAAGGTTTGTGTCTATACTTTTGACATGTTCTCTAATATCGATTCATCTATTATAAAGATGTCTAACCTATCTGAAGAGTGCTGCCTCTTAGCAAATGTTTCTGAAATTAAACACTTTTTTTATTTATATGAGATTTTTGGTGACCGTAGTGTCAGATTGACAAATATTAAGTAACAAGACATCACAAAACGACTAATATTATGATTTATATAATTTCATGAATTATAGAATTATTAGTAACGATCTGTTCTGAATCTCATTTACGGTCTTGATTATCGTTTATTGATGTAGCTTTTATATTTGTATGCAAGCGCACAAAACGTGGACAAAGTACATTGTTTAATCAGTGGAGGAACCATAATGGGACATCGACCCCTCAAAATGTATACTGTAATCACCTATTACCTCCTCCCCCATGTATAGGGCCCGTGCTATAGGGTTCACCAAAAACCGAAACTTCATCCTCTGTCATTAATATTTTAACTGGCTCTATGATTTTTCTCTTTCAAATAAATGTTCTCATTTATTATAAAAGCTTTTAGATAACTGATTTCTCGATGTTTTTGAATGAATAACAAAACCGAGATATTCTTACACAAACTCAACTTTCAGATAACGATCCCTGTGAAAGGAGACATGTCCTCCTTTCTCATGCTCCCGGGTCGTCGTTCAAATCATTTTTACCTTTTTTTTGAACTGTGATTGTCCTACATTTTAAATATTATTATACTAGTTCAACCTTTTTAGAGCAACCTTTTTAGAGCAAAGTCCATTTTTTAGATATTGACTGTTAAAAAAAGTCTAGCGAGTGCTGCTATCGCCATTTTTGCAAGTAAAATGAATATCCAACATAGCTTACGCCAGTGGTTCCCAAACTTGATTTTACTACCTTATAAATATTTAATCATTTGGCGCTTCCACTATTTCATAAAATAGATAAAACTTTAGCAGTCATTTGGAATATTGCTCACTGTGACTAATATTTGCGCCTACCCTTAGACTAGTCCGCGCCTCACAGTTTGGAAAACGCTGGCTTACGCAAAGTAGGAACTGAGAGCCGCAATGTTTTATTAAAAGAGCCGCATGGAGCTCCGGAGACGACTGTTATCCTAGTTAATGGTTTTCAAATAGGACAACTTTAACTAATATTGTTGTCTTTGACTTTAAATATTTGATCTGTTAGAGTACACCAACTCCTATATAAAGTAAGGATCCGTATGACTATGTCCAATTATGAACAAAGTATAGTTGGACATAATTAGTACATCCTACGGGTACATCCTTTAGGTATTAAGATCAGGAACAGAATTGTACCAGATGAGAAGAATCACGATAAGAATAATTCACATTTGATTTGTTTATATATTACAATGATATTTAGTTACATGACTTGTTTACATTCCACTCGCATCATGCTTTTATTTTGATATATCTAAAAAACTTGTAAGGTATTTAATAATATTTTATTATGATCCACGCCATCTAATAGAAGAAAAGATGTTCTAAAATACTTAGTTAAGGGTCTTCACCGTTATGTGGTAGCTAAGAGCGCTGCAACGCAAAAAATATTGCAAAAAAAACGCATACAAAATATATTTAAATTTTTCAAAATATAATTTTAAAATAAATCTGTGAGAATGTTTCACATTAATAAGACATATCTTTAATAATTTTGCAAAATCAGTATTTATTACGTCATTACATATAAACAAATGCAAATCTGGAGTGGGGTTGCACAAGGCAAGCAATGAATCACACACCATTTTCAATGTCAAATTTGTGCAACAAGTGACATTGTGGTGATTACAGTCAGCATTATGAAAAATAAAGTTACGGTAAAAGTCTTATATTTATAAATTACTACTGTTTAATATACTCAAGAAGTCTCCGTCTTTGTACAACATATAATAGAGATGTTTTGTTAGAAAACGAAAGAATATTTCATTTCAGGATGGGTATGACACATTTGTTGGCTGACCTTTGACCACCAATAGGTGTAAGCAAATAATAGATGTAAGTAATCAACATTTTATACTTATAAGTAAGCAAATCATTAGTAGTCATATTAAGATACTTGTTGGATATTGAATCACCATGATCCAAATATACGAGGTAAGACAACGGCCTTTACTGTGCTCGAAAAAAAAAATAAGAAAATGGAATAGCTTTTTGAGCTAACTTGTATATTTGTAACATAGCGAATTCGTATATAAATACAAGTATTTGTCATTTTTCTTACACACGTACCGCTTCTATCGCACGAACGTACTCGAAGGTCACATGAACGTACATATGATCCTCATATGTGTACTCATATATCTACGGTACTTTATTATGCATAATAATTATCGTATTCATTTTCTATACCTAATAATAAATATATGACGGTAGTCACTTCACCCTTATATTTACTTTATCCAAGTTTCTCATTTATGTGCAAATCCTTCATTTTATTTATTCTGCCTATTTCATATTTCTGCGCAGTTCAAATAAGTATTTTCGATGTTCCTGGTCTGAGGATTTACATAATCCTTGCAATATTGAATCCCTAAATATGCTACTCTTATATTGGGAAACGACACGCCTTCTGGTTATTATGTAAGCTTCGGAATGATTAAAACTATAAACATGAATATCGATCAAAAATAATAATAAACATTGCACATAGAAAACAGATTGTAAATGTTATTAGCGTTCTAATATGTTAATCTAATATACATGTATGAATGTGTTCAAATAGAGATGATACGCTTTCTTCGTCATTGAGATTTAAAAATAGAATCATACATAAAGATGATTCATAATCAAAGCGTTCTGAAAAAAATAAACAAGGTTAGATAATTATGTTTGTATATTTTTGTTTTCAATCAATATGTTTTCTTTTTAATCTATTTACTAAATAAATCTTTATAATCAAGATATCAATGAGTAACTACGTTTTCTTTATTTAGAATTTGTGTGTTTTCTCATTTTAATGATTTTCCCATAAACTATAATAAATTGAATTGATCTAAATATGCACATAAAAGCTGTGGTTTCATCAATAGGGTTGTAATTGAAAATATAATACAATTACGTTTCGACTTTATCAAATCTTATTTTTACTAAAAAATATTTTTGTTTTTGTCCTTCCTGTACGTTCTACTAATATGTGTAGTTTTGACTATTTAGAATCTAAGCAATTAAAAGTGAAGGTAAGTACAAAAACCCAAAAAAAATCTGTTTCTTTAGAAAAAAAATACCATTATGTTGCTTCAATGTAAGCTTAAAATACATGTGCATCACATATTTTAATTTTGATGAATTGCAATTATTATTCAAATTAACGTACATTTAGGATAAATTCACAGGAAATATTTTATTAACAGCAACAGGTCTCAACTGCATAAGTGTCTGTGACAAATCATTCAATTACAGTTGCATAAAGCGCAAATCTTTATTTATGCGTCGTAGATCTGCAATACAGCAATACCTCGAATAGTGCGACTTCGATTAGATTCACTAATAAAATAAAAATCAATTTTAACAAAATAGTACCAATTATTTTTTTTAAACATTAATTATGGGTTTATTTCCTTTATACAGTTAAGTCTCTTTTTGTGCGGTTTATTTTTGTGACAAACCGTACTATGCGAATGATGTACTTATATTGAAATAAACAAAAAATAAGCAATTTTAAAATGTAGACCTTAAAAAAATTAATGAATTTGTTAATAAAAGTTCTACAAAATAAAGATACAAAATTCCTGTCCTATAGACCAGTGGTCATCGCATTATGATGCAAGGTGATTTCAATTATTGTTGTACAAAAATACTTCAATCAATGTTTATTTATAGATCTGCTTCAGCAAACGAGAATAATAATATGATTTATATCTTCCCACGTTTCAACTAAATATTTTTTTACTTCATTTATATTGATTTGTTTAGAAATGTTCAAATTTGTACAATGTGTTCAATTTTGTTTCTAATAATTCCTATACTGTTAAAATGATTTACCCTACAATAAAGCAGAGGATCATCAATGAAGTAGGTACCTAAAGTCCAGATGGTACAGTCTAAAGGCATTATTACCAAGGGATGACAAGCTATGAGCAATAAAAATTACAAGAGTATTATATTCCAAGCAACATCTGTGACCATAAAAGACTGAAACCCAACACTTTTTCGGCAACAATAAATAAAAATTCCATTTAAATATTTTTTTCAAAAAAGCTCTTACATCGTTTATATATATTTAATTAATAAAGATAATTTTTAAAATTTATCACATTGATTGTTAAAAAAAATAAAAATTTGATATAACTAAATTCTCTTATATTTTCAATTATACTGATAATTTTAGCGACAAAATATAATTTTAAAAAAAAATTGTCACACGTAAATAGCAAAATGATAGGAGAAATGTGTTAAAATAACTATTTTTGAAAATAATCGCGTGTCACTTGTGTCACATATTCGCTACACTTGGCAAGCTTTCCATTGGTCAACTATCGTTGTAATGAATAGACCTGACCTGAAAACAGCCAATCGGATCTTCATGTTTATACCACGAGATCCTAGACATGACGTTTACATTTTCAATTTGAAGGAATTAGACTCACGACTTTAACTAGCAAATAACAGCAATCACAGTTGCTTGCAATTGCATGTGAATACGTGCACTCATAATATACAGATTCAATGTTTTAACATATAAAACAATATAATTTCCAGATGACGCATGACTATTTGATAAATAAATACAAATAAATTTAAATAACAAAAAAACAGGAAAGTCATACACGTGTATTATATAATTTACTTATATATCGATTTAACTACACGATAAATGCATTTCACTATAAGAATAAATTTAAATAGTTATTGTAAAGGACACGAATTTCGTTTTGAGTCAATTAACAGGTATTAGTATAAAAGCCTTGTGATGTAATTTTATGAAGAACATTTATATTAGCGAAAACTAATTCTAAAAAAAAATAAATTGTATGAAAAATAATTATAAAATAGATGTTAACTAATATGAAATATTGGGCAAAATATCTATTTTATTTTTATTATTGTATTGTTTTTAATAATTTATTGTAACAACTTTTTGGAATTACCTTTTTTTATAGACAAATGACAACTACATCCAGGCAAACGATGCGGAATATTGTAGAGCTTTCAACCGAGACGACATGCGTCTTCCACAAAGTCAACATAGGAAACAAATGCACGAGAATTACAGGTAAATTGTAAATTTTAACACAAACATACCGGTTTGATACAATTTATTTAATCATCATCATTATTTTTATGTATCAATTTTTTTATATATATTATTTTTCAATTAGACAATATATTTTTATAAAATAGTTAACTTCCCTTTATAGCTTATATATTAATATATTAAGAATTTGTAGATTATTAACAAAAAAAATTCATCATTTATTAATTGATAAAAAATACTCTAAATAAAAAGTAATAAATATTATAAATCACAATTAAAATTTGTGTAAAAATTGACCAATAAATATTGTTAAATAATTGAATGCTGCAGCAGTTTTAGTCAAATAAATCATTTCATGTAATCTTTATTTGCACAAAAATATAAGTATTACGTACTTAACTACCAGTTATAAAACTGCTTTTATGTGTGTGTCTGTGCATGTAAATGAGTGTGCTTCTGTGCATGAATGTGTGCGACCTCACGCCACTCCTGGACTATAGCCAGATTCATTAGAAATTAATTTACATGCATCGATAATTCGAAGGGAATATTTTATGATTTATTAATAATTGTAATAGTTATTTAAATTTCCAATGACTGTACTAATTCTACTAATTAAATGACTCCTAATTGTTCCTAAAAAAATACATTTACATTTAAAATTATTAATATCTAATTGTGTCATACTAAAATAATTTCATTATTTTTATATTAGCAAAATCTAAATTTTATACAAAATTATACTATAAAATTTAAATTTTATGCATTAAATTTATAAGAATACGTAATATATCTTAAACATGCAACCAGCGCCATCTGTTATCAGGCATACTTTTATCTCTAAAACTGCTCATCCTTGTAATTTTACAAATTTTTAAGTTTCAATGTCATTCTTGTTTACAAAATAATCGAGGATTTTCACATCATGAACGTGAATTAAAAAAAAAATAAAGCAACTAATCTCAGTCAATGTTAATACCGTTAGAGTTGTCTGTCCGACAGGTTGTTAGTATGAAATTAAACGGTCGTTATTCGTTAACAGGAAGAGCTTCCTGTCTGCACAGGTATGACTATAACATCACCTGTTGTAATTTGAGAAATGAACAAGAGAGGGCATTTAAATGTAATTATTGATTCGTGGAATATTAATGTTTAGTTGATGACTTTTGATGATTTTTATTTCGAACTTTCCAGTGTTGTTTTGTTGAGTATAATCGCGATTCTTGGAACTGTAGGCTGCTTTGATTGAATTTATTTGATTTTTGTTTTGTTTTTGAAGACTATTGATTGATCTGATGTTTCGATTAGTGTTACAGGAAGGAAGAGATGTGGAAAGGGTAACAGGTAGATCCCGGGATTTTGGCTCGATGAGATCATGGGTGCGCAGCGATGGTGGGGGGAACCGGTGGGTACGTCCAGGGTTTGCCCTGAGAGGCGTTACCCTAGTTTCGACCCCGAACCCTAGACCCTGGATGTGGGATGCAGTGGACCACAGCTTGAGTTGTAGAGACTACACCTACATCAACGGCAAGGGCGTGCGTTGCGCAGTCTCAACGGAATACGGAATTTACACGGGTGCGCGGCTCACTTTCGCCAAATAAAACGTATTTTAAACTAGTCATCGTATAGACGAGGTGTGACACACGGCCACAGCGAATTGTTTTGAACGAACAACAATCTCTGGGCCGATGGCTCGACAACACACGTGTGATTATTAGCCTGTGCTCCATCCATCCATCAGATCACACCAGGATAACTTGAAGCAGAGCACAACACATATCAATTTATATATATATATATAATACGTATATATCTACTCCACAGACAGTCTGCGAAGTGGTGGAAAAGTCGTACGAGGATCGAGAGGAAGGGAAATATATAAATATACATATATATACCTATTATATTATAATATAATAAAAACAAGGCGAATAGGGAGACACGTTCGATTCGCAATTTATGTAACCCAACAACAGCTATGTGGAAGTACCTTATGAACTACAGTGTTATATGTGCTGCAATAGTCTTGTGTTCAAATTTGCCCAATAACGGTGAGCCCTACAATTCCATCCCCCAAAACTGCACGAACCGCATCGAACGGGATCCCGCATCTGTAAAGATCATCTTCCTTGCACGCCCTCCATGCCATTGTCACGATGTTACCGCTACTACCACCAACCACAATTACCATCAACATCAATAATATAGCAATATTTTTTTCAATGTGTTAAAAGGATGTACATTTATCGTTTGTAGAGTCCAGCGTGTGTTCGATAAGGCAGTTTCAATGTGAAAATTTGAAATGCATCTCGATGACATGGACTTGTGACGGGGAAGACGATTGCGGCGACAACTCCGACGAGATCCCCAAGAAAACCTGCAACAGTACGTATTAAACCAAAAAAACTATACACTATTCTATTTCTAAATCGACGGCCCCGAGATCGTCGTTCAGTTACGATGCTTGCGTTCCATTCGTTCAGAAATACCGTGAATCAGATGATCTCTGATCTTCAATTAGCATGCTTTATTAAGAGTTCGTCGGCGAGCAGATCGATTTGAAAATAGCAGTTATAATAATTGTAGAACGCTGATCTAATAGCAAATCTGATAAATAGTGTAAGTAAAAACAATCATTTATATATCCATAACCTATAAACAAAAACAAGTCCGCCCAATGAAATCAAAATAGAACTGCTTAAGTAAATTAATATACCAATGTATTGTTTCTATAATTATATCTAAATTTTCATATATATATATAAAAAGATACACATGTTATCTAATGACAGTCTACATTTTTTAGAAAACAGACAAATATGTTTTCAAAACAATATTAAAACTTTAAGTTTATTCCTTATATTCATTTTTAAACCTGTAAATAATACATGCAAACTACGTTAAATTATTTAAAATCTATTTTGCTTAAAATAATAATAAAATTTATTACATAGACAAATATAAAATTATATCGTATTTATATAATTATAATAAAAGAAAAATAAATTATATGTTACAAAATTTCATTGAAATATCTTAATACAAATTAATATATAAAATGAAGAAAAATGTTTCGTAACCAAGTATTTTTTACGTAATTTGTACTTACAATTCTTATTTTTTACTGGCACTGCATTATGTAAATAATTATAGAATTTATATTAATGACAACGTGATTGATTAGGTAATTTATTAATTGTCTAAAATGAACAATATTTTGACAATTTAATATATTTCTTCGATTTGTAATAAAAAGTGTCAACTTAACATTTTATCAATAATTTGATAACTTCTACTAATGATTTGTTATCATAAATAATAGTATAAACAAAAGATCTATCAGATCATATAATTATTTGATCATTTGATTGATTGATTAATTATAACTAGTAGTTAGAAATTACACTAGGATTATATGAAGAATAAAATAGAAAATTAGATTTTTATTTTTAATTAATATTATTAAATTAATATAAACAAACGATTGGTTACGATTCATCATAATTTGTCTAATGATAAATAATAAAAATATATAAACTGTTTTAGTTGATTGCATATAATCACTACAAATATAAGAGTAGAAGAAATAATTATTCTACAATAGGTTTTTATTAATAATTAGATAAGTTATATTAGTGTAATCAATATTTTCGATTGATAATAATGATTAGATTTTGAACAACTATTATGCTATTACTAAAAATATCGTAGCTGTTTTCCGTTTAAAGTACAAAACAAACATAAAATTAAACTTTGCTCAACGGCCTTTGTGCTTGTTGCCTTGACGTAAGCAATGTAAGAAAACAGTTGTTACATTCTTTCCTTCGTTATTTGTTTGTTTTCATAACACTAGATGGCGTTGATTATATAATGTTGCTTTGACAGTACAAGAAAGTTAATCAACATTTTCGTTTGCGGATAACGACGGTTGTAGTGAAGCCACTTTTTGATAAAATAATTGTATAACATTTATATAATAAATACTTTATCGATCTAGTTTTTTGTTATAATGTAATTCAAACAATTTTTCAAAAAAAACTAAACTATAAAAATGTATTTTATATTAATTCGGAAACTATGACGATTTAAATTGTCTATTGGTATACATTGTATACATTGTCAATGTGTTTCAAATTTTACAAAACTGGTGAAAAAATCTTTATTTTTATTAATTTATTAATTTATTTTTTTATTTATTATTTAATATATAATAAATATGTTTTTAAGTAAAAATCATTGTGTTAAACTTAATTATAAATATTATTATTATAAGAACAAAAAGCTGTCAGATAATTAGAATGTCATAAGAGGTGCTGATAGCATATACATAAATTTCAACAACTCTGTTAACCTTTTGATTATATAAATGGTTAAAAAAAATCAATTATCTTAGATTAAATGCATATTGTTTATTAAAACAACCCATATCTAATCGAAAAGCGATGACTTTAGAAACAGTCTAATTACAGTAATTATTAATTATAATACGTTAATTTATTAATCAATTTTATTATAATTAATATTAATCTTTAAATGTATATTTACTGTTACATAAAGTTTTATTTTGATTCAAACATCCTTGTTGCTACTGGAAATAAAATTGTTTTTTCGAGATGAGCAAAATATATTTTTTAAACTGGTGGCAATCGCAAGCCCGACAACCGAAATCCCNAATCCCGAGTGTATTGAAATCCCGACGTTCGAAATCCCGACAATCTAAAACTTAATAAGATTATTAATTGTTCTTATTTATTGTTAATAACATAAACTAATTTTATTATAGAATATTTCTTATTCTTAAATTTTATAATGAATAAGTCAACGTAAAAAAAAGTACAATAATAATTAATATTATTTATTGTTATTAAGAATAAATAACAACAATTAATAATCGGGAAAAAGAGCCATCGACCTAGGTCTTAAAAATATTTTTTTCAGTATCCGTCGACCTATTAACATATAGTACAATAATTTAAAAATGTTATTTTAGAAATTATAATAATAAAAGACACTGTCGGGATTTCGATTGTCGGGATTTCGATATATTTGGGATTTCGATACAGTCGGGATTATGGAAACATATAATTAGAATTAAATTATATAAAAAGGATAAACATAAAAGTGAGCAGATGTATGTAAATAATTAGTATTTATTACGTAATAAAAGTGGACAGTGTTGAATTAGAAAAAAATCTGTCAAAAAACTTTTAACCTAAAATTATTATTAATTTGTGTGGTTTAAATCTATTCTATTTAGATCCTCGATTAGTCCGGTTTCAAAAAGTTCGGGAACCGAGGTATTTTTGCATATCGTATTGCACATTTTTCATGTGATAATTACTTAAACTGACCAAGTATATATTATGATTATCAAATGAATATTACGTCAATTAAATGAAACTAACAAATCAGATTTGAACATCGAAATAGTATGTTTTACGCGTACTACAAAATTGTATTTTTTTTTATTTTGCTTTAATAAGCGTTTTTGAATCTAGTAAATATTATTGTTTATTTGTAAGAATATTTATCTATCGTCATTCCGTATAATGATCTGCAATTTTAATCAATGCTATTGACCGAAACATCTAAAGAGTCCAATAATAATTGCGTTGCTACTAGACCTATATTTCAGCCAAATTATGTTTATTTTGATGTTGTCCACTTGCATGTATAAATAAACTGCTTTGGTAATAGTGTCATGTTTATTACATATTTACGTTGTATATTTAGTCTCTACAACGTGCACATGCGGATTTTGTTTTTGTTATTTAAGGAAAGTACGTTTTTTCTTTTGCTTCAACGCCATTCAGGTTATTTGGTTGATTTTGTTTTTCTAAAATTTTGGATAACACTGCAGAATCAATAATATACTGATTGAAACGCAATAAATATTACGAATAACCTTTATTATGTGTTATTATTAGCAAAGGTTGTTCAAATCTGATCTATGTTGATCCGGACAAGTGAATCCATTCACGTGTATACGTTATATATTTCCGTGTTTATGTTTATATCTGTACTCCAAAACAACTTAATACTTTTTAATTTAACTTAGACTTAATTTACTTTTACTTAGATTAAAGAACTTTTATCTTGCATTTTTTTAATAACAAAAAAAAAGATTCAACACAAATATTTAACTCTAAAATATTAGTGGTTTTTGTCTAAATCAGTTTGAAAACTGATGCAATCATTAAAATTTTGTGTGCAATTTTAAAAACTATGAAACAGATATTCTTTATAAATTTCTCGATAGCGTTATAAATGATTTTGCAACTACAACTAACAAGACTTTCAATATCTTCTTCCTGTTCAACTTTCTTTTTTGTTTCTCTTTCTCTTGCATTTCTAAGAGATTATTTTTATAGCACATATGGCTTCAGATCAATTGCAAAGATGTTTAGTTTCATTTTATTTTTCAAAATTTCTATAGTAAAATAAAATTATATTAGATGTGATTTAAATTTGATAAACTTTTTAATACATCTGTTAATAAAATTAATGAATTAAATTGTTGTCGTTGCCCGATTATAAAGTATCAAATAAATTGTTATTGGAAAATATTAAAAAAAAACTTACAGTTCGCTGTAGATTTGAAATATTGCAGTAAAGATTCAAAGTTTACAAACTGATTATGTCAATTGCACATGCAAGAGATTACAACATATGTTGAATGAGTGTACTAAAACGAATAGAGCGAATGTTTTGATGGACATTGCGAGATCGCCGCGAGTGCATTGCATCAGCCCGAGCGAACGTGCTGATTTTATAGAAAATAAACAAGAAATTAAAATCAATTTTTTTAAATTAATAAATCACAAATTAAATTGTACATAAAGTTCATAATCATATTTCCTACTTTTTAATATATTTTTTTTTTCGTTCTTATTGTTTTCGCATAATAAAAAATATATATAATTTTAAAGACAAAATATCTATTTTTGTCCCAAAAATATTTATTCTAATATTTATTGCAATAATAAATTATAAAGGTCTTTTGACCAATTTGTTCTAATAAAAAAAAACTGTTGAAAGAATGCAGTTTAATGAAACGTGAAATGTAGGAAGGAATTAACTGAAAATATCTATTTCAATTATATATGATTTGCCTTTCAACAAATAATGCATGAAGAATGCCAATGCAACGTCCGTATTGCATAAGCCAAAGGAAATGGATTCGAACATAAGATAAATCATAAAAGGTAGCAATTTTAAACACAAAATTCAATATTGTTATTTTAAATTATTTTCTTTGGAAGAAGATAAGATTTAATAGAAAATTGTTGTCTTATTCAGAAAAATAGAGGATGCGAATGGAAATAAATTATTAAAGAAAGTAAATTACTTGATGAAAGAAGCAGTTAAATTGATGAAAATTGAATGATTTATGATCAGTTAATTGAGATCATTTACCCCTACTTCGCCGACCCCTTCTATATACGATTAGGATGAAATATATTTGTTACAGTTGTTATTGTTTTTTTGTTCATTTTAAACTTTATTATTTAGTATCAGTTTTTAAAGATTTGATTTTCCAAATAAAAAAAACTTAATGTTCCTGAGCTATTTTAGATCATTTTAGATCAAATAAGGTTATACAATATCTTAATGTTATGATATTATACATAATTTTAATTGTAAACATTTGATGAACATCAACTTCGTGGAAATTATTTAAATAAAAAAAAATGCAGATGGTAAGTTTTCATTCTGATGCAATAATCGCGAATTCAAACATCATCGTCATTTCCAAGAATTACTTCTGAACTGCAATTACTTTAATGATCATTCAAAAAAAAAGTTACTAAATGTGAGTAAAGTTTAATTTAAAAATAATAGTTATTTTAATTCATATACTGTATAATTTTAATAATAAAAATAATTTCAATAGCCCTTTGTATCAGTTGCCTTTTTATTACTGTATATGGTTGTTTTTTAACTGATGCAATAAACATTATTATTATTATTTTAAGATTAATTTATTAATCGAAATCTTTCAATCGCTATAGAAATAATAATAAATAAGAAGTATATAATATTAAAATTAAAAGAAATAGTGTTGGGGTGTTGCATTAGCTACATTGAAAAGAGTAGATGATGCATATCGAAGGTCTTGGGTTGAGGTGTTTACTTAATAAAAGAAACTAAAGTAGTAGAATAATTCTAATAGGAAATAAATGTCTAAAGATTGGCTGTATCCGGCATGCACATCCGTATTAATGCATGGAAGATTGTATCGGTTATCTAGCTGCGCATTAGGCGGTACCCTTTAGCCAGTGAATAAATAAATAAATAAAATGATAGTGGGGAAAAGAAGTAACGAATGCAAATTATCAGTGTCCGAGCGGCCGACGCCGATAATAATAATGAGAGTAAATAATGGCCATGGAAAGTACGATTAAAAACTGGTTGTTGCTACAATTGCAGCCTCAAAATCGAATCAGACGCGAACGTGTAAACATCGAAATTATCTTGAGCAGCAGAGAAGATGCTGCACAGCAAGTTACCAATAGCCATCGCGGCCCTTTCCATTTGGATAGCGGTCGCAAACGCCGCGAGCGGTGAGTTATTTCTTCGATTTTCCAACGATTTCTTGTTTTCCCTTGCACGAAGAGAAACTCGAGCCAAACGCAACATTTAATTTTTCACTTAGTGACAACGATATCCTTCCCCATTAATTACTTAATTAATTAACAAAAAGATAGCGCAATCTAAATTATTGTTATTTTCATGTTTCGTTGTCGATAATATATAATTTTTTTTTTTGAATTTTTGTTATGCTGTTGTCAAGGTACAAGTTAAAGATTTTTACCCGAATTATCGTGGCGTTTGCAAAATCATGCTGACGCAACAATAACGGCACCCAAAGAAGCGGTGAGAACAAGGGAAGAAATGAAGAATGTTAAAGAAGTAGGCGAAGAAGTAAAAAAGAAAAAAGAGAAAAAGGCGCGCGACAGAACGAGACTGCTTTCAAGATAATTGGTGCAAGTGGTGATGCAAAACCTCATCGTCTTGCAGTTTCCAATTGGCCAGCAATTCCAACGACTCGTTGTATCGTGCAAGTGCGCAGTTTGAGAACGGCATTACTGTAATTATATAGCAAGCTTTCTGAAAGGAGACGTGAAAAAATAAAAGCAAAAAAATAATAATTCCATTGCGCGTTACGTGAAGAAAACGAAGTATTTGGAAACATGTTTATGAAAAATATTTATTGCTATTTATAGCGTATTTTGCTACGTTTGCAATCTTATATTTACACTGTCGCGTATGTACATCTCTTTGGTATTTTTTCTTATTATATTTTTGTTATTTTTCATTGAGAAACGCACGCGACTGATAAAGCGAAGCGCCGTCTAAATAACAAGACTTGTTGATAAACACTCTTCTATACTTTTTTTGTTGTTGTCTTGTGCAGGAACTTGCAGCTCCAGTGAGTTCCGTTGCGACAATGGTAAATGCATACCATCCCATTGGCAGTGCGACTCGCAGAAGGACTGCAACGATAGCAGTGATGAAACAGAGCATACTTGCAGTAAGTCCATCGATATTTCGTATATGTCTTTATAGTCACGAAATTCGTTCGTTTCAGGGCAAAAGGTGTGCGGAGCCGATGAGTTCACCTGCAGAACTGCACCTGGGGAATGTGTACCGCTGAACTGGGTGTGCGACGACAACCCTGATTGTTCCGATGATAGCGATGAAAAATCTTGCAGTGCGTTAATTATACAAGTCTTTAGCTTTACAAATTAATTTCAATACTTTCTTACAGATGAAACGTGCAGAGCAGATGAGTTCACGTGCGGAAACGGGAAATGCATCCCGCAGCGCTGGGTCTGCGACCTGGACAACGATTGTGAGGATAAGACGGACGAGAAGGACTGCGCCCCGGTGACATGTTCTTCAGAGACTGAGTTTCAGTGCTCAGAATACCACTGCATCTCAAAACGGTGGAAATGCGATGGTGATTCTGACTGTTTGGATGGCAAAGATGAGATTGGTTGTGCGAAGACACAGCATCAGTCATTCTGCCTGTCGCATGAATTCGAATGCGGAGATCGCATCACCTGCATTCACAGGGCCTGGTTATGTGATGGTACGAAAGACTGTTTAGATGGCACCGATGAGTCCAAGGACCACTGCCAGAATATCACATGCAGAAGTGATCAGTTCCAGTGCGGCGATAGGACATGTATTCCGGGACACATGCATTGCTCTGGTCAACCGGAGTGTACGGACGGCAGTGATGAGAAGGATTGCGAGGTCGTGCCACCTAGGTGTGATCCTCGAATACAATTGGATTGCGGGGATAACAACTGCATTTCGTTGTCCCAAGTGTGCGATGGTAAGCAAGACTGTCCCGCCTGGGAGGATGAACCTAGGGACCTCTGCGGGAAAAACGAGTGCCAGATAAACAATGGGGGCTGCCAACAAAAATGCATTGACACACCAGCTAGTTACTATTGCGACTGTGAACCTGGCTACAAATTGGCAGACAACAAAACATGCAAAGGTAAACTATAAACATTATTCACTTATAAAATGCTGGGTCGCAATATTTCACAGAAGTTTTTTTTTATGACTTTTACATTATTTATTGATATGATTTTGTCACACTTTCTGGTTAAATTTCGAAATTAATTGCTTTTACTAATATTCTAATCCGTAACTTATGATACAGACGAAATGAACTCTTGTAATTACGAAATTAATTCGTTCTCTTAGTTACACGAATAATTGGTTCTGATATATATTATTATATATATTGAGAATATACGTTGCATGCAATATTTCAGCGAAAGTAAGCCATCACTAGACGTATAGACGTATGTTAAATTATTCAAATCCAGATAAATACGTGAAGTGGAATACACGATTAATTCGCATTCACAACTTTTCCGCGCAAATTTCCTGTTTCTTGGAATTGTGTTTGAAGGGTTATAGCTTTCAGATATTTCATTTAAATCTAATATTTCTACCCATCTAATTTTATTATTTTGTATTTATTACTTTGTTATATAAAGTTTTAATAAACAAACTTTCTGCGTATTCACACTTGCGATTTTGTAGAGAAAATCGCCGTAATTTCAACTACAACTGTGATTTAATTATCTACGTTTGCTACCTGCAAACGTCCTATATTAATCCATCAAATAGATTACATAATTGATACTGTTGTACATACTAATGCAATTAGGTCACATGATTGAAGTATGCACGCTTCCACATTCCACATATGTTTGAAACAACGAGATTCTCGAAATATTTATACGCTGAACAATCACAATATTTTGCCTTATTGTAATCATACATAAAAACGATATTTAATATAATATAATGCATATGAATGTTTTATTGAATTCGATGACTTGCGAATGAGAAATTAATTCAGAAGCCCGTACGTAAGTCAATATATGAATATTAACAATAAATATTCCTAATGCAAGTAAATGTTATTTCATGTCATATACCAAAGATTATCAATATGAAACTAATACAATGTATGAATTATTGGTCTTCAATGTTTCTAAACTAAAATATCACTAGTTTTACAGATCTGGAATAATTAGTTCTTAGCGTATCTATATAAATATTTTTTATTATTGACTAAACATAGAACCATTTTCAAGGTCGTTTGAATATTTTTAGTAATTTGTGATAAAAAAACAAATTAATAAATGAACTATGGATGTAAATTGATGATTGTATAATTATATTCTTCAGATATCAACGAGTGCGAGATTCCTGGAAGTTGCTCACAAGATTGTATAAATGATAAAGGCACGTATAAATGCGAGTGTCAGCAAGGTTACATGAGGGACCCGAGGGACTTGACGAAGTGCAAGGCTACCGAAGGTCACGCTTCCTTATTATTCGCACGCAGAAGGGATATTCGTAAGATCTCTCTAGACCATCACGAGATGACGAGCATTGTGAATGAGACCAACGCCGCGACTGCTTTGGATTTCGTTTTCAGAACTGGTATGATCTTCTGGAGTGACGTGACTGACAAGAAAATTTACAAGGCGCCAATCGACGAGGGAAACGAACGCTCCGTGGTCATAACCGATGATATAACAACGTCAGACGGCTTAGCTGTCGATTGGATCTACAATCATATCTACTGGACCGATACAGGTCGTAATACAATTGAGTTGGCTAATTTTGAAGGCCAGATGAGAAAGGTCCTGATCAAGGATGAGCTCAAGGAACCAAGGTCCATAGCGCTGAACCCCATGGATGGTTGGATGTTTTGGTCGGACTGGGGCAGTGAGCCCAAGATAGAGAAAGCAGGAATGGATGGATCGCATAGAAGGGCGATTGTCTCTTACGAGGTGACCTGGCCAAACGGTCTCACTTTAGATCTGGTCAAGGAGCGCGTCTACTGGGTGGACGCTAAATTGAACGACATATCTTCATGCGACTATAACGGCCACGACCGTCGCGTCATTCTGCACTCAACTGAAGCTTTAAGGCATCCGTTCTCCATCAGTACCTTCGAGGACTGGCTTTACTGGACCGACTGGGATAAGTCTGCCGTCTTTAAAGCCAATAAATTTACCGGCAAAGATCTGCAACCTGTGACAGCGACAGAGATGATACACAATCCGATGGTCATTCATGTGTATCATCCATACAGACAACCCGACGGTGAAAACCATTGCCAAGCTGTGAACGGCCACTGCTCTCATCTATGTTTACCAGCACCCAGGATCAATATACACTCTCCACTTATATCCTGCGCTTGTCCAGACAGTTTGAGAATGTTAACCGACGGATTGACCTGCGTCCAAGATGGTGAGTACATTTTTCGTAAATCTTTTCATATTTATGATGTAAATACTTATTTGCATATTACTTTTATTACATTTTTTTATTATTTTTTTTATTATCATTATTAATTAGCAACAACAACAACCACTCAAATTCCAGTCACCCACTATAATGATAATTTAGAAATTGAAGTGACCACCGGCAGTGAGTATTGACATTTTGTTGGTTTTGTTTTCTTAGTTGGCTTGTTCTCTTTTGGTGATGGTTCTACGTCTACACGTTTTCGTTTTTTCTTCACAACTAACATTTCCATTCATTTAACAAAGAAATAATTGCGCTTGTACCTTACTTATGCAAGACTTTTTCCTTTCTAGGTACTACAAACAAAAACGGTTCTCTGAATGTCGTTTCTGAAGGCTCCGACACTGGAATAGTTGCTCTAATCTCAATTTTAGCTTTAGCGGGTGTTATATTTTTCGCTGGAATTGTAAGTTACCTTTATTCTTATAGAGCTTTATCGCATTTATCGGCTGTTATTTGTATGTATATGATATTAATAACAACTTTTTCAGGGAATTTACTTTATTTACCGTCAATATATGAACAGAAATAGGACTTCAATGAACTTTGATAACCCAGTGTATCGGAAGACAACAGAAGATCAGTTCTCTTTGGAGAACAACTCCTTCAAACAGAATCGAATGTATCCGAGTACCGTTGGTGAAGAGGTAAGAGCACTCACTCTAGAATATACTACAGCCAAATAGGTTGTTTAATTTAGAATGATCCAAATTGACAAGAATCTTGAGAAGTCGTATTTTTGTAATGTACTTTAATGTATTATAAAATGCCGTGCCAATATCTAACTATTGTAAGCTTTAAAACCAAACAAAAACAAATAGACAAGTATTATAGCTTATAGGTATATATCAGTATTCATTAACGAATTTAGTCTGCTTTGGTAATTTAGAATTTAATGTCATGGAATTTTGTGTCATTTTATTTGTTTCATGCATCATAATATAATGAGAGTATTTTTGGTAAGTCACATTTTAGTTCATTACCATCTAAAATAATATTTTTAAATTAATCGGATGCGATCTCTTCAGATATAAACAATATACATGTTTTTCTTTCTTTTTCAGGCGGAAGAGCCACTTACGAAACAGACGAATAGTACTGAATTTGTATGAAAGTACCTTATATGCTGCTCATTTATCCAAAGATGTATTAGATAAAAAGAATATTAGCATAGCAATAATTCTGGGAGTGCATGGAAACACAAAAGAAACATTATAAGAAAGCAGCATTTCACATTCTTGTCTCGTTTTCTTTAACTTTTTATTATTATTATTATCATCGTATATTATATAAAGTTTATATGTATGTGTTTATATGTGTGCGTGTGCGTGCGAACCCGAGTGGTTAAGAACATATTATTTTAATGCTGTTTTAAGAATTTGTAAATATATTTAATGTAATTTCCTCTTTATTTTCTATAAATCATATTTAAAATATACAAGCAGAAAATAAACAGTTTACTCATTCTTCCTCGAACATTTGGTAACCGTTTTTTGGAATGATCTTAAGTAGTAAGCTGAGATCAGTCTCAGAGGACTAAGTAATAGTGCTTCCAGTATCAAATCAAAGACATAAGTGAAAGGAGACATTCCTACGCAAAGAGTCGTTAGAATCCAGCTTTCCATTCCGATGGTACTAAAGAAACGTCCCTTCTAAAAACGAAAAAATGAAATAATCAATTCACTAATAGAAAACATAATGTACATACCAAAGAGTCTTTGATTATATTTTTGGCTACATCTTCAGGTTTGTACAAGCCCGCTGATTCGGATATGAGTTGAGTTTCCAGTGGCTTTGATTCATTCTCTATCTCAAAACCTGGTGTGTTTGTATCTGCTGGTAGTGCTAAAGTTATTGAAATATTGTGATCTCTAACTTCCATATGCAGTGCCTCTGACAAACCCCTTAATGCAAATTTAGTACAAGCATATACAGTATATCCAAATATTCCACACAAACCACCCTGTGATCCAGTGATTACAATAACACCATCATTCCTGCTTTTCATTTTTGGAACAATGGCCCTTGTTGGATAGATGACACCATATAAATTTACATCAATCATAGTTTTAATATCATTTGGTGATAAATCTTCTAGCTTTCCACAAATGGCCATTCCCACACAATTTACAAACATGTATATTGGAAGCTCTTTATCAATGGTATCAATCTTCTCAGACACTGTATCCCAAATAGCACAATCAACACTTACAGCTTGGAATTTCTGTTGTGAATTTATTTTATAACTTTCAATCTCTTGTATTGCTAACTGTAGCCTCTCCTGATTCCTTGCAATGATTGTAACATGAGCACCCTTTTGTGCAGCCTGCATTCCAATTGCCTTTCCAATCCCACTGGAACCACCAGTAATGCATACATGTTTACCAGTCAAATCCCTCTTGATAGTTCTTCTTTCACTGAAGAATTTTATAATGAAAGTTATTATTAACACAGGCAAAAATATAATAAAGATCATTTTTAATACAACTGTGTTGGACTTTTATTTTTCCACAATTAAACACTAATTATTTCAATTATTATTCAACACACGTTATCTGCCAATCCGGACACCTGACTTCTAAGACCTATTGGAGACAATTGGACTTATGTACATGTGACCCCTCCCAACACGAAATTATTGATTTTGTTTTGAATTTAATTGTGAGGTTAGAACATTCTGTCAGTTATAATAAAACATATTTAATTAAAGTATAAATTATAAATAATTGTTCATTGAAATTCATTCATTTATTCATCTTGTTACGTAAGTTTATATAATTTTTTTTTATGTTTTTGACAGTTGACAATTTTGAATGTTGATTACGAGTTTTGACAAAATGTGACATAAACAATACATGTAAATATAACCTCTTTTTTTGTGGTGGAAAATTCAATAGAAATATCCTTGTACATAGAATTCCTATTGGATTCCGTAAGCAGATTAGTTTAATTAGAGTGGACATGTAAGTTTAAGTAAATTGTAAGATATGATTATCTAATGAATAAAATAAATATATTTAAATGGTTGTCAGCACTTGTGACCTATTATTTATGATTGAGTATAACTTCAAAGTTAAAATGATTTGTTGTTGTTTGTTACTATACAAAGAGACAGTGCCTGTGGTGAATATTATTATACACAGATAAAAGTAATGATAATGTTGTACATTTCCATTATATTCTCCACCATTCTTCATTTGTTTTAGAGTACAGAAAGATCAGTTAAACAACAGAATACAGTGCAAGAGATTGTTTGCATAAGCTGCATATAAATACAGATAAATCAGTGAAACTAATGGACTTTGCTCCTATCAGTTTGCTGTATTGTGTTCATCAATTGTGCTAATGAGTCCAATAACAGAATGGACTTCGATGAAGCAAGTCACATGACCTTAAATAATGGTAAGTTATAACAATTTTTATTCTTCATGAAAAAGGTTAATTGTTTGATTTTTAGATTTCTTTGACTGTCATGCAGAAACTGCTGCAAAAGTATTTATTTTGATGCCAAAGGATGTGCCAATATCCAGGGCATCAAGATTACAATGGTTCATAGAACATTTAAATAAGTTGATAACAGCTTCTGCCTTGGAGAATTTAGTAATGACAATAATAATTGAAGTTGTGCATAATAATTGTAATTTTATTTGTAGAATGGCAGTAGTAACAAACTGGAAATATTGTCAATAGTACCAGAAGATGGTTGCAAAGTCACAAATGACACAAAATATCTAGTTACTAATTCCACGAAAATCGTTTATGTTTCACAAACTTATCGTTTTGTTTATTGTTTGGATATGAGTCCGTCCCAATCTGCAGTTGACATTATTCAGGGAAGAATTTTATTTGATGAAGTTATTAATTGTTTCAAGACAAGCTTGCTTGGGCTATGCAGCGAGTTTATGATTCCTTGTAGCAGAGTGCCTTTGCAGCCATCAATATATCTAACAGTCATTATAAACACGCCGTTCTTCATAAGTCCAGCTCAACAAGTCATAGTTAAAGGCGTCAGAGTTTCTAGTCATAATATCCAGGAAATAATAAAGCTGGTTCAAGTGCAATTTCATCATTTAGAAGGGAAAATCGCTGAAGTTTCAGCTAAAGCTTATGACCAAATTGATCTGCAGATGGTAAGAATAATAAGAAAAAAAAAAGTTTTATATAATATTTAAATATATATTCTCTCTGTAGATGGAGAACGAAGATATGTACGGTGGTTTATTTGATCTCTGCGAGAACGATTGTATTGCAAATATACAAATGGTTTCGCCCGATGCAAATTTTGTAAATATGTTAAGATACTCAATGCTAGCAATCCAGCTGCTACCTGAAAATAGTTCTAGCCGTAAGAATGTAACAACATTTCGATAGAATTCTTTTAATCTAAGTACTTTGCAGATATTATTGTTATTACTGACGGGGTCGTTGCAATGCCCGATTCCAGTATTCTGGAATCGTTGTTATATCAGTTACATTATGACAGTATAGCAGTCTCATTCCAAAAAGTTGGTTCTCAATTTAAACCTGACAAAAGTGTAGGATATGTGCCTTATACCGATTTGCTAATATTTCTATCCCACTCCACGTTGGGTTCCATTTTAGACGTGTTTCCTGCTCACGTAAGTTTACTTTATTAATATTTCTTGACGTTATTATGCATGCTTCCAGAAACAAGAATCTGAGAGTATGAACATCTACCAGGAGTTATATTTGTTATGGTCATTTCATACCAACTATCAGCCGTCTTGCGGTATTATACATGATAATTTAGATGAGAAAATTCATTTGTATGTTTAATAAATCCAGCAATGCCATCAATTACTAATAATATCTTAACTTGACTTATAGCAAGACACAATTAGACCGGTCCCCGCCACTCTTATCGAAACGACAGGCAGAGGAAAAGGTCAACTCATCCTTGTCGCTATTAGTTTCAAGAAGGATGCGAGAAGGTTATACTGTGAACGTAAGTACTAGGCATTCATATCAACGCCAGTTAATGTAAGCATTTCAGATGGTTAGCTACAATAACGGTTTGTTAAAAATCAAACTGACCTTGCATTGGAAGACCTATATATTCATTCACTACGAGTTGACAGCTCCTTGGCCATCGCCCAAACAACATACTCACTTAGACATAATAATAACTGGTACTTATAATCATATGCAACTAGTTGCGAAACTAATAACGATTTTTTAGCGCCGTACGAGTTTTTGCATGACATCACTTGCATTATGAAAAAGGAAACTAAGTCAACTTTTCGTCAAGCCGTTTTCGAACGGTTTTGGATCCGATCAACGCAATTGGCCACTAACGAAAATGTCCTGGCTCAGCAGCTTTCCTCCTTCGAGAATTCCAACATTTGGGCAACTCTTCCGGAAAGTGTCCGCAACGGCATACCGGTCTTTGTTGCAAATACTGGAGACATAGTTAAAATATCTTTTGCGCCAAATGATCCCATATGCAGTAAGTTCTCGCAAATATGGCAACCAATCTGTTATATGGATACCAGCAATTGGCGTAAATGGTTCCACACGCACAGACTCTCTTTGATATTGAAACATGACCAACCTTTACCGAAACACATGCATTTATCCAATTCATCCGGCAGATTCCAGGTATAATAGTTAATATCAATTTATTATTACGATTACTATATTTTTAATAAAACAGGTTGTGCAATGCAGACAAGCCGCGTCCGCTCTCTATGGTATGTTAAGTGATTGGTCTTCCTTTGTACTTGTTGACAACCATACCTATGTAAAATTGCTCAAGAGTGGTAATGCATCGAATTGGTTCTGCGTCGTCAGGGTTACTTCTAAACTACCCTGCGCAACCATTATCCTGGGTTTCATCACTGGAACACCTGGTCAGATGCGATATCAGGTATGTATCAAGCTTAAAGAAAAATAAATTCTCAACTATCATTGAAATGTAAATACGAAGGTATGTGAAGAACTGAAGCGTGAATTAACATCGTTATCATATTTGTCTACCGCACTGAAATCCAAAGAAGACATCGGATGCACTTTGTTGTTGAAGCCTCTAGAAAAGATTTTGATTAGGTATAATTACTATCAGCTCGATTCGTAATCTTTCATTCATTTTCGAATCTTAAATTTTAGATATGAGAGAATACCGACTAATTTCCACACCGTCATTTTCCCGGATGGTACAAAGAATTCCGTTCAAACGTTACCGATATCGCCGTTTGCTGGTACTCTATTTACAACACTCTCTCGATATTTATTTCATCAGAGGTGGATTTGGCGCGCTACGCATTTATCAAATGAAAGACTGGACGTTGGTTCATTAGCAAGGATTCTAGGAACTTTAACAAGGTAAATTAAGTTTATTTTATTTTGTTAATGGCAACATTTTGGTCTTCGACGCCTATCTTCCGCTTGGTGCCTAATTGCACCCTCGCTGATTGTATTTTATTGAAGAGATATAAGAAAAATACAACTTTTAAATGTGCTTTCAGAATGCGTATAATGGAGGGATTTAATTTTGCTCATTCCGCTTCTGGGATTATAACGATGGTGAAAGAGTTGCGGATGAATGCTCCACACTCTAGCTGCGTTATTCAATACGTGTTATTTCCACCTCATAGTGCCTGGTGGATGGAAAGAGCGAGTAGCGGCGGAGGTTCTGAGGAAGAAAACGAATCAGATTCAGACTCTTTGTCGCAGATTGTAACCGAAGTTTGGATTGAGCCGCAGTTTGGATCAGTCATTTCAAATTCATCTAGGGTATCTTATATGGACGGAAAGCGGTATTACGAACTTGCTGATGTGGTTAGTAGTTTACAGAATAAGCTCGACTTGTCTCGGTCATTTTGCGTTATGTATATATAAATACCGAACAAACTAAATAGACTAAGTATTCCTATTTAGATAAAAATGATGGACAAGAGATGCATCCATTCGTTGCTTACATTGGAACACCTGATTTACATGTGTAAAGGAAAAGAAAGCTATGAGAGTGGGATACCGATGTTCTCGCCATCACCGAAACAGACAAGGGTATTCCAACCTGACGCATTGACAAATCAAAATTACGCTATGGATAATTCTGATACGTAAGCTAATAAACTTAATTATCGCATCAATGTAACTGTCGTCCAATATTAACGATCATTGCAATGGCCCAGTTATTATATAGATTCACAACGGCAAAAATAATGTACTAACTATCCTTTTATTTAGAAAATATTGGAATCCTACTTTGGTACAAAGGATTCAAAATGTCGCATTCAATTTTGATCCAATTAGTATTCTATCGCAATGTCAACAGTCTGAGCTAATCTTTTCCATGTTCATTGAAGGTAGGTTGCTTATTAAAGATTATCAGTAAACAAATGTTCACTTAATCTGTTTTCAGACAAAGAACAACTTGGAGACAACTCCAACAAGATTTTGTTGAACAACATCCACAAACACGTTTTGTTTTACTTGAATGACTGCGAATTGGAGTTGAGTTCTGAAGACAGTACTAGGTTTACCAAACAAGTGCGCAATAAAGGAGTCTCAAACTTGAGCGCCAATACTTCTTGGCGATGCTATGTTAAAGGCGTGTCTGAAGTACACGTAATACTCACGATGATCCCCGCGTCTATAGATGATCTTAAACAAATCCAAGATGAAGATATAAATCTTCCAATATATGTTTACAACTGCCCTTTGGCTTTCTTGGTGGATTCTCATGTCAATTGCCTTGACACAAATAAAATTTTCAATAAAGACGTTTTCGAGGATCACAGGTTAGTTAGTTAGTTTTCTTTTATTTTTATAAGTTATGTGTTTAGTGCAATGGAAGAAATCAATCAACTAAATATGAAAACTTTAATGATTTTCAGATTTAAAATCAAAGTTACAGAAGAACCTAAACTGGAGCATGAAAATAACGATGAAATTTACAATAATGTCAGGCTATATTGCAAAGCTGTTGTTGTGGCACATTCTAGGTGCTTTGCAAAGTCTGTATATTCAGCATTACATCGTGAAGCATTCGTAGATAAAAGTGATGTAGATGCAGCCATGGGTCAGTGCGTTAAAAATTCATATGAGATCGACATAACTCATTATTTGAAAGTAAGAGATCTACAACGATCGATAAATACAGTTTAATTAATGACCAATGTTTGCAGACTATTTGTAGCCACATTAAGGATAATAAAACTAATGAATCGCAATGCTGCAACGAAATGAAACCCGTACACCGTTTGATTAAAGAAAAATTTCTCAAGATAATTAGTGACGCCTTTAATGTGATACCTGAAAATGAGTACTACTACTATTGCCAGAATTTAAATAACTATGGTAGTGATTCAAAAATAGCAGATAGCGATGATGATGAAGAACCGCCGAGCCCACTTTATGAAATACATTTCAATGACAGCAAATCAGAAAAGCCTACAAATATTTCCGTGGATGAGGATGACGAATTCAAATATTGCAGTCCCCTATTCTTACATTTTATTTGCATAGTGAAACTCAATAACCAATTGGTACAGATGCCTGCAAAAATTCTACCCACATGTTTAGCTGATCTCATTAATCCGATAGATATATCAGATTTAAGCAAGCTTAGTGTCATCTTGGAGATGGGACTACTCACGTTACCTAACGACAACGCAAATTTGAATGCTAAGAATATGACAAGAGATGAGCAAGGATATAGTTTTGAGTAAGTTCGTGTAAAAGTAACTAGAATTTATCAAACATGTATGTTTTAGATACAAAGATCTTGACAACTTGCAGCAAGTCAGTGAGGTGCAAAAGATTGCTGTACAGAAGTTTCAGGATGAGGTTAGTTAGTTATATGGATAAGTAACGATGTATTCAAACTGCGTTTTCATTTCAGATAAAATGGTTATTACAAGATGAAATTACAACAGCGTTACTGGACATTGAACCTGTAACATCCGATACTTTGCAATTTGTTATGAAGCATGTCACAGAGAGCCATAACATCAGGTGCTCATGCATCCTTGAGAAGATCGATCTAAACTTCGTTTATAAAACTAACGAGAGCTATGAGAAATTTGTTCAAAAATTCTGTTGTATCAATATTACTAATTATAAACTGTGCCAGGAAGGCGATCTCTACTACCTAGTTAAAAACACAAACTTCGATGACGAGGTGCAATCTATTGATGGGACTTCAATTTATAAGTCGAATGACAATGCAAGCGATATTTCAAGCATCGATGTTGACGATATCACGCTAGGTAATTACCAGCAAATAGTACCACAATCCATTAACACCATCTCGCGACTTGCAGAGTTCGACGATGATATTGACGACGAAATTGAGAACTACAATTGGTTACTTGAGTTAAACAATAAAAGACCAAATCTGCCAAACTTCTGGTTGATCACGCAAATTGAGAAAGACGTCGTTACTGTTTATTTCCATTGTCGCTTTATACATTTGCCTACGATACATGTTAGGGCTTACGTTGATGTTCAAAAAAGCATATTGGATGGTGTCAGAGAGTTATGCAAATGCGTGAATCAATCATTGTTATTGAAATCGCTGTATGACACACGTATCTGTAATGAGCTGCTTGAGCCCGCTGACAATTATCAAGATTGGAGTGAGAAGTCCCAAAACACCTTTCGTTCAACGAGTATGGATGGTGAGTATCATATATTATCGATCATTTAATATATAATTGACTATCAATAATGTAGAAACATTGGACGATGCAGAGTTGTTTCAAGCAACGCATATTGAATCGACTGTGAAGTTTAAGGTAGGGTACTTCAGTTGTCCTGTAGTTTGGGCGATTCCCTTCACCCTTCACCAAAGGCTTAAAACAGGCCCCAATAAACCGGGTTTATCCATTGGAATTTCGGCATTGAAAACTGTATTGGAAAAGTTCTCAGTAACTAATCGAAATAATATGTTTGTATATAGCGACAGCAATGATGACGTGTTCTACTTGCGGTAAGTAACTGCGCCTACTCTGATAGTCCCCTTATTTCATAACTCCTCTTTTAGTTTACACGAAAATAGTATGAATTCTTCTCATAGGGGAATGCATGTGAAATCTAACGAATTTGAGCAGCCTGTTTCTCGCAGCCCTTCGATCACTTCGCTTCCAATAGGTCCTCACAGAAGCAACCTTGCACGATCCGATTTTAGCATTTCATCAACCACAAGCGTAATAAGTAGAACTATTATAAATGTACGAGCATGTTTAATAATCCATATGAAAATTGTAGTCAGACGTTAGGCCGAGGGTGCAATCATTCGGCGAAAAAGATACATCAAAAGAAACATGTAGTAATGAAGACATTGTCACGCTCAAAGTGTTCGGAATAACAGATGCCAAAGATGATATACGGCTGCAATTGACGCAGGTTTTGCAAAACCGACTAGACGATGCAGTTTTGGAATTACTCTCAATTATGTTGTCCAGAAACGCGATGTGTCCTTTGACACCTGAAGATGTTCATTTCTTACAGAAACCTTTCAGACCTCCAGAACACATTATAAAGGTACTTATTTAAATTGCTATCTGCTAAAAATGATAATTGTTTTTCAGCTATCTATACCGAACCACTCAGTACAACTCTTAGATGCCTTCATACATTATTTAAAGCAAAACCTTTTACAGTTCCTAAATGTGCCTAAGTATACGGATTCCCGTTTGAGCCACTTCAAGGTAAACGAGATATTATTGTATTTTATTTTATATACTAAAAGCTTTCTTATTTACATAGGATTACACCGAAAGCGATAGAAGTAATAATCGTATGACTGAAGAAAATATCTTTATTTATAATCAAAGCCAGAATCCGTCTTCAGGAAGTAGAGGGATAGCATGCATTGCTATGGCAATAATTGATCGACCATCAAGTAGTGGACAACACGCCCAGTCATACTCTTTAGAAGAAGCAACTTTAGACTTTGAGGGATCCACAGCATCCACAGTATTGACAGACGAAGGTAATTAATTCCAACTATTTGACATAAACGATTAATATTATTTGTATGTACATATTTAGATCTACTTCCTTCTATATATTTGGAGTTTCGAATTTGGAAACAAGGTCGAGTGAACTATGACATTCTTCATGAAAAACTCTGTGCGGCCACGAGTCACTCCACTTGGGATATTATAATGGAATACTACTTCTTAACATTTGAATTATGTGTAGAAGATAACTTAAGATCCGATTCGTTGAGGTTGCAATCTTTTATGGACGAGATACACGTTGATGTAAAATTAGATACATATTTAGTGTCATTGGGTGGCCAGAGTTCAAAGAGACAAAAGGGTTACCTCAGTCCGCAATACAGTAATGAAGATATGGGTAGTAAACGGCATTCCAATTTGTATTTCAAGCCTATGGAACTTGGTGATGACGGATGCCTACGGGACGAATATCAAGAAAAGATCCACGATTGGTTAGAATTTGCCATCGACTTGAAAGTACCTGCGATTAAAAAAATTACCATCAACTTGACTCATCCAAATCCGCTGCACAGCACACTGAAGGAAGTGCAAACTATCATCAACATGTTTCAACAAGAATATGTCAAATGTTTCACGTTCGAAAACAATGCATATGTGCCTTATGTATATTCATTATCAACTGTCAGCATAATTGTAATATCAAGGAATTTCGACCAGTGGAAAATCTCAACTTCCCCAGCGGAGTCGCAGCACAATATCCCCGATGATATTCGCTCACAAACTAACAAACACAGCCAAAGATTTATGCACACCTTCGTCGCAGAAAAGTTGATTCCACGTCAGAAATTCCTCTGGGCCATTATTTCGTCTCGCTCGGTAAGCAGCACCTTTTACGCAAGTTATATAATAATTAAATATTACAATTGCAGGTTGAATTATACGTCTATAACTGGGCCAAAGATAATGTCATAAAATTACGTTCGTACTGTGAACAAGTTAACAGTTGGTTAAACGTCCGGGCTTCCACTTTAAACGCTAGTTGTGCTCAAAAAATTGGACTATTTCATAATCAACCAATTGACCACAGTAGGATGGTGATGCTTTTCATTATTTTATACATTGTACATTCTAAATATTTAATTTATATTTCAGCCCAATAATCCATACTTAAATTGCATAGGCGACGTTGAAGCTATGAAACGATGTCCGAAGGATAAGTCAAAGAAAGTTGTTCCACTGGATAACGTATTTTTGGAGTCTTTTAGAAACAATTATAAACATTTGCATGTAGACTGTTTAGATACAGTGGCGATGTTCACTTTAGAGATGTCGGAAATTCGTAAAGCAAACAAAAAGCATAGAGACGATTCGAAAAAACTGTATTCCATGTATCAAACAAGAACAAATTCCAGCACAGAATCTCAGATTCAGCTGATGCTGCAAAATTCACGCATAATCCACTACTGCCACACACCTATATTGTTTTTAACACGATGGAGATTACAGTCGGCAGCTACAAGAGACTATAATTTAGCAACTCCGGTTTCTAGATTATCCACTCCTCCTGAGGAAGCCGAGGAATGGCACGACGAGTTGTATAGATCATTTGCTACTGAGTACAAGAGATATTTGCAAACTTTGGGATTTATGACTCTAGAAATAGATACTAATAGTAAATCTTCCGCCAAGGTTATCAAATCTGCAAACATCGATGATGGTGGTGTGGTTTATATGCACAAAGCAATCATATTGGGAGGTATTCTCTTATTTAGCATTCACCTAAAAGAGCCGTTTTTCATAACAAAGCTCTACGCCTTAGAATGCAATCGCATTCAATTAAATGCACGTTCTCCGATAAACCAATATATTCAAACGTTTCTAGACGAATGTGATACAATTAAATCTTCCATGCATTTACACTCATTCACGTACGACTTCCATCTAAGATCAATATATAATTATATATCTAACAATCAAGGATATAGAGTTTGCAATGGATACCATTTAATTCAGTTTCTCGATGATTTTATGAAATATTACAATAAAGCACCGAATTATGCACGCAATTTAGTCCATGCCGATTCGATGATCATCGGAAATCTACTAACAGAAGGGAAGCAACTATACACATACTTGCTAAGCAATGTGAAACAGTACAATCTAAGCGTTGTTAGCATGCACAATATTGGAGAAGGCACGGAGTATGTGTTAATACAAGTAAGTAACATTTCTGATGTTACATATCGCGATGCCCAGGATCGTCAACACACAGATGACTTTGATATAACGCTAATAATATCTAACATATCAACAACTTATAACAACAGTGACAACGTTATACATTTGAAGTATTATTTGATACTGACGTCTGGAAGGTAAGAAATCATACGACAATAAATAATAATTTTATTCTATACTTTAAATCCGTAGAGAAATGTATCCTAAAACAGAAGTTGAAAGAAAACTTGGAAAGTTCCGCACTGTCTCATCTACGAGCAGGACAGCCATAATGGAATCAGAATACGCGAAAGAGATGCCGGACGATTGCGATAGTGACAAAAAGTCAGAGTCAGATCGTTCGGAATTGACTAACTTGACGCAATCAACAACTGACGATGAATCAGGCTGTGAACACAAAGCAAAGCGACAATCGCCAAACATTGAGATCAAACCCGAATCTGTTAACTACCTCGGATACTATTCTTCCCATGAACAGCTCATGCAGCAGCTTATATTAAATTGCGCAGATAATACGAAGAAAACTATAAAAGAAATGGTGACGCAGGGTACAGTTGATTGCAGGACCCATTTACTTTGGAATAAGCTGCTGACCAACCAGGACATCGGTCAATTAACTTTTGACGAATTTGTTGAATTGAAAGGATTGTCTAAGCTTGAAAGTTTAGGTGATATTCATCCCAATTTAGGGTCCCTGATCAATCAGCCTCTTCACTGGTTCCAGGGACTTGCCAAGTTGTTGCTGTATAAGTACCACGATCAACATAGATTTTATGTCTCCGAAGATGAGAATATACAATACTATGTAATACTTCATCCACGTTGCACTGGCGCTTTTATGTTGCTTTCCATCGATATGCATACAGCTAGAGGCGTAAGTTCGCATCATGCATAAT